TTTTGTCTCCCCTCCCCCCCCCCCCCCCCCCCAAGCTGACGACATTTTATGGACTCAACTTTCAATTAGAACTGAAGTGTGCCTTCATCCTAGAAGTAAACCTTTGAGAAATGCGTTCGTACAGCTTCGATTCATGTCAAAGTTGATGAATGGAAACTTTTCCTGCTTTTTGGTCGCCGGCTTCCCAGGACTTCAAGGCCACACCTTCACTTTCCCAGGGTCTCGATGAAGGAGTTAATGGGAGCATACGTACCCTAAGGCTTGGGTTTGGCTCCAATATTCATGATGGAGGTCGCTCCAATAATATCTTCGTAGGAGGGAGTTGCCACTTACGCACGTTCCGATTGTTTCACGAAGTCACAATGGCTTTTGCAGTTTCCGTGAAACGAATTTATTGGCGCTAATTGCTTCACGCTATCGTCTCTTGCTGAGAGACGATTTGAAAGGTAATGAAAGGAATAAAATGTGGATAAAATGAGGTTTTTATCCGTTCCAGGGCAACATTCTGTTCTGGCAACATTCCATAAATTTACCGGAACATTAAATCAAAGCAGTGAAAACTCTTATTATCATTTTTACTTGAATCCACTTGAATTTCGCTTAGCCTTTCTTGTTATCTCTAGGTTATGTCAAGTCATCATTCCGTTCAAACAAAATGTATCATGGGGACTGCAAGACGGAATCGATGTCATAAGTCCAACTGAACACTCGATGAAGCAGGTCGTAAATTATGTGATAGAAGCGGTTTATGTCGTTGATAGAAGCGGTTTATGTCGTTACAGGCGATCAGAAAGGAGGGGTCAGCCCGTTGTTGCAACGTGCATTTGGCCGGGCGGGGTCCGCTCGCCCTCTCGACGAATAGCCCGGAGAAACATTTTGCAACACCAACTCCCCACGTACAAGGCCACCGTAGTACATAACGGGATTTCATGATCGATCGCCACCTTTTTTTTCCTTCATTCAGATTGATTCGTCAGAGCATGGTGTTTGACAATTCGTGTCCGTATATGCAAAACTGCCTAGTCACATTAATTCCAGATCGTGATTGGCTACACCTCCCGTATTGACCAAGGGCTCGATAATGGGCAGTCATTCATCGCCTCGAGGAGTCATAAAATGCTTTTCCGTTCTGTGGGGACTTTCGGTGACTCTATCGTATCCAGACCGTAAGCGGATAAACGTATTCCAGACCACTTGGAAGGCGATTAACAATGAAGAGAATTGATATTCATGGGGCAAGAATCCTCTTTATTCCTGTTCGCATTGGAGCTTGTACAGTACAAAATATCTGAGCGGCAGATCTTTGGAGTAGGTTATTATTTTGAAAACGACAGTTTCCAGAGCCTCGTCGAGGCCAGTTATTCGTGAGATCTCAGCGTCGGTACCTACTAGTACGATCGCTGGTCACAAAAAGCACACTATTATTTTTAACAGACGGAAATACACATGGACAATATAGAAGTTTTTTTTTTTTGCAAAAAGGCAAGGTCTCATCTCATTGAGCAATATCGTGTGTCAAACCAGTCTTTGATGCTTGAAAGCTGCACATTTCCCGGTTGATGATGGTACACAATAAGATCGACGAACTGAAGGAGGTGGTCCTACATCGAGGAAGAACGAGGAAGGACGAGGAAGAGGAGCACCCACAAGACACGACAATCCCACAGAAAAACACGAAAGACTACATTCAGTCAGTCCGTTTGTATCACATGAGTCCCTTCAGGTTGTTGTCACACACTCGAACGGATTCGGGGCGATCACAGTTCCGTTGCTTCTCCAGGACCTGTTGGAATTCATCAAGTATGAGCAAGATTTCACTCACGAAACTTTATCAAATTTTTACCTTACGGTTCAGCAAGGTTGTCCTCCAGCGCAGAGTTTGGGGACGTGGACGGGGGGAGGAATGATCTCGATCACCTCGAGCGCTTCTTCTGGGTTCGACTTCAAAGGTTCAGTTTCCCCTGGGGACTCTTCGTCATAATATTCTTGAATTTCTTCTTCAGTCGGGTAAGCATCGTAAATAATATCCGAAGGGAACCCAGGCTGGAATGGGTTTGGCTGTCTTGACGTCGACGTTGCCTCTGACGTCGTGGTAGTTTCTGTCGTGGTCGCGACTTGATTCCTGTTCCCGAAAGTCCTCGAAGGCTGTTCAAGGACCGAAACTGTTTCTTTCGTGTTTCCGGTTCGAGGGTTTTTTATGGTGAAGCCCTGATGACTCGGACTCTCGAGAGGTTCCTCTTCGATTGGAGGTTCTATCGGTGCTTCGGTCGTGTGAGCTCTCGCCGGTCGGCGGCCGCCGTACAATTGTTGCAAAATGCTCTGCTTTACCCCGTGATTACTCGCTGGAGGTCGGACTCGTAGCCGGCTCTGTTGAGTTCTTTCAGAGGAAAACGAAAAATCCGCATTCGGAACACTGTTGGTTCCCGTCGTCGTCGAGGCCCGGGTCTGAGAAGGGATTCGACCTCTTGGTGGTCGCCCAAAGATCCGAACATTCACTCTGGGTTTCCCTGGAGTGGATGCGGGAGGCGATTTCGGTTGAGGACTTACTCGGACCCTTTCATACTCCACACCCTCCACCGTCCTCGTGTCTTCTTGACGGAAATGGCTCTCCACTCTCGTCGAAGCTGCGGGCTGGAGGCGGCGAAGATTCCTATTCTGTAGTCGCCAGTCTAATCTCGGCTTCTCTTTGGTACGCGTGTCGGGGGCTATGGCCGTTACGGGCCTGGTCTGAGTTTCCGAACCCCCGATCGAATTACCTCCATCGATTCTATCGATCGGTTCGTCCTTGACCGGAACTGTCGGTCGAGGAGTTCGAATTCTTCGAGGTCTCTGAAGTTCCTGCTCTTGCGGTGGATTAGGCTTGCGCTTCACGGGTGTTCGACGTCTGACTGGACGTGCCGACGTCGTTGGAATCGGTTCTGACTCGTCTTGTGATGATCGGTTTTGGGCAGGGACCGATGTGCGTCGTCGATCTGGTGGAGGACGTCTTTGTGGTCTCCGCCGTTTCACTGGGGCAGTTGTCGTCGCTGGAGGTTCTGAATCATTGTCTTCCTCGATCTTCGGCTCTGTTCCTTCTTTTTCTTCTTCGACCTCCTCCTTCTCATCCTCTTCTGGAGGCTTTTGTCGCCTTCTCCCTCCTAAAAAAGAAAGTGACACCACAGATTTATGAATACCTACACTATTATAGAATGCGATAGGCTTTTATTCTGCTTCGAAAGCAAAGAAACAAGACTTCTGGGAGTAAGCACCGCCCGCTAATATTAATACCTCGTATATTAGCCATTCAAAGATTATTTTCCTCTATTTTCCCCTTGCTAAAGATTTGAGATAAAATATTGCACAAGATCATAAATTAATGGATATATCCGTAATCCTCAGGAAACGAATGAACATCTTATCATTTTCATATTTTTGCATTCGGTGCCTCAAAGACTTCATATGCATTCAGAAAACCAGGAATGATCAGAGTGCTGATTTTTTCCTACTGAGAATTAAAATAATATATAGCAACAGTAATTCTTTTTAGCATGTTCGAATGACACTGTTCCATTTATGCTCGATGAAGCTCAAAGATGCTAAACAGCATGAATTCCAGCATATCGTTAACTTCTGAAAAGGTGAAGTAATTTTAATGGGAGAAAAATGCAAGAAGGCATGTTACTGTACGCATCTTGTACGCATCTTGTAAGACCGACGTGAAGGAGTTCAAATTTACAAGGGCACTTGTATCAGCATCAGTGTTCTATTCGCATGCAAAGTTATCAAATGAGAAAAAAGAGCAGAGATCGAACTGAGCGCATCGCCTAAAATAGGCCTGCTAGGATACCTAGAAGGCTTATTTTGACCAAGCGTTCGGATCCTTCTTTCTCATTTTTTACGAGAAAGATCTTTTGGATTTACTTTTATTTTAAAATGAGGAAATTCTCTTATCTTTTCAGTCGAATTAAGTGGTCCCTTTCGTTTTACAATAAGCATGGTCATGGGCAAAGATTTACATTGTTACATGTCATGACTAATGCGCAGAAATTAATTTCAATGCTAATGATATGAATATACTTCAGGGATGGGAGTGGTCAGAGATCGACGATGTAGATGAAAATCGCATTATAAAAGGACTCGTACAAAAAAATAAGAGGGAAATGAATCCAGCACTTCGGCCAAGTAGGCCTTGAAGGTCTTCAAGGTCTACTTGGCCGAAGGAAGAGGAAAGAAGAGGTAATATATTCGCATGAATATCTTAATTTCTTTCTCTTACATGCGTCTGGCCTTCATGGGTTCATGAGAAAAGAGTGAGGTCTGGCAAAAAAAATCTCCTCTTAAGAAATTACAATATTACGTCTTGAAAGTTATAAATCTTCGCAGGTAATTCTTACGCCTCCGACGTCTTTCTTTGGTTTTGGAGGCGTCATCTTATTCGGTTCTTACCGTATTTTGTATAGAAGGGTTTTATATGTTCTATTAAGTATGGAAATGAGTAATTACACTTCAAGTGCGTCAATGGTCTGTGCTCGACCATCCCAGAATTAGATAACATTTGGCATGTTGGAGGATTACGTGGAGAAGAACAAGTAACAAGGTATGTATCAGATCTCTGTGTCAAACGGGAACAGAGATAGGGGCGTCTGAAATTTTGCCTCAGCAAAAATGACATCTAGACTCCTTCCTTCCTTGCTTTTGGTCCGAGAGAGTTGGTTAATATTGCAAGCTCAAATTTGAAGCTCGAATTTAAGTAAGAGGAATCCAAGAGTCTTAAGGGATTTAATTAATATTTTTATTTGGTTTAACACGAATGGAAAAAATTACATACATTTAACTCCGTGATTTCCCACGGGGATTCTGACACCCGTGTCAAAATTTTGGTGGAATGAGTTCCTGCATGTTTTAATCAAAGTCCGATTCAACGTGATCTTGAGGTTTCATGATTTCAACACGATTTTTTTCACTTTTAAATCGGAAAAATCTGTCGTTTTCAAGACCTTTAACTTCGTTTTTCACCGTATGGGAAGCATAAAAGAGCCCATTGCTGAATCATCCGATAGAACTTCTCAGGGGCTTTCCAATCATACAATTGCAAAATCCTGTCTCTATTTCCATTTGGCATGCAAGATACGATTTATGACGCAGAAATCTCCCCAGGGAGGCAGCGGAAATATTTGTGGTTAAAGGGTCGTTCTGACATTTCAGCTCTGGGTTGCAATCACTAGTATCCGTGAGATATTTTTTTTTTAAGTAGAATATTCTTATCCACAACTCTGGACACTAAGAACTAAGTGATATTGCACGATAATATTCACCTCTGGGTCTGATGAAATTCCCTCTCCATGCATCGGGTTTGGCCGTCCGGGTCGGAGGAGGTCGAGTGGAGCTTTCTTGCTCTCCTTCTCCCGTGTAGAATTCCACGGTGCGATTGGGTCTGGATTTGATGCGAGCATAATTCTTGGTCTTTCTGGAACCTCTGAAGGGTTTCTTATTGTTCTGGGACACCAATTCGTTGGAATGCTCGGGTCTGGAGAAGGAGAGACGGGTCGCTTTTCGATTCAAGATCTTATTGCGGACTTGGGAGTACTTGACACCTCGATCGCGACCGAAAACAACAGGCTTCGGCGTCGTCGTCGTCGTCTTCTTCTCTCGGGCTTCTAGACTGGACAAGATGGCCGAGAGGCTCGTATCGGAATTAAAATCGGAGAGAAATGGCCAACCGAAAGGTTTGGCAGGTTCCGCAGCTCTGGCCACCGGCTGTTTCTGGATGGGACGGGGCTTAAAGGCTGGCCTAGGCCTGTCCTTGGACGAGGGCCTCGGTGTGATGACGTCGATGAAATTATTTTCAAAGTCTTTGTCGTGTTCATCACCGTCGTCACCTTCCTCGTCGTCATAATCCGTTCGACGGAAACTTCGAGAGCTTGGGACGATCTTCTGTCGTTTGATTGGGATCTTCGTCTTGTCTTCCTGCTCGTCAGTCGATTTTCCTTTACTCAGGTCGGCCAAAGTCAGACCTTCAGGCAAGGATTCGATGAGAAACGGATGCTTGAAAAGGGGCGACTGGCGCTTGACCCTTGACCTTGATTCCCCTTTAACCCATTCGAACTGGCTCCACAAGATCAGAACCAGGGACACGGTGTACCTGCAGGAAGAGAGAAAGAAGAATCAATTGCTGCAATTATTGCTAATATAATTGTCATCATTCTGCACGATCAAGCAAAATTGACGACCTATGGCAGACATGACGTAATACTTAAAAAGAAGGACTTGACTTATGAAGACATAAATAAGAACTGAATCAACACTATCGCCAGACTAGTGTCTACATGAGCCTTAGGACGTCCCTGAGCTCGAATGCGGCCACGCGTGCTCCACGTTGGCTTCTATAATGACAAACTCCAGGAATTTCTAATGATCAGGGATTTGATGGTGCGGATAGGGTTTCGGGGCGATTCTGCGTGCCGGGGAGGTCGTGACAGACCCTTCCTCCCCAGGGCACCTAGACTAATTACTCTCGACTTATGCAATCCTCCTGTGTGTGTTTGTCAAGATCTCCTTTGCTCGTACTCTAAGCCTGCCTCGCGCAGGTACTTGACTTTGTTTTCCACCCTGCAAGAGTCTTCATACCGTTTCACCCCTTGAGACCGCAATTGAGAAAGTGAAAATTAATTCGAGGATCTAGAAGAAAAAGATTTCATCATCGGAAACCTGGGGGCTTTTTCTATATGAAAAGTTTTGAAGCCCTTCGTTTGGATTTTTGTCGTTACCAGAGGGTATGATATGGTCCGAGGGGGAAAGGATTTTCTGCTGCATTTAAGGAGTGGCTTATTCCGGGGGGGAAGGATCAGCAGGCTCACGGAAGCAATCAATTTTTCGCCTTTCACGGTTGAAGACATGCGCGGCGGCTCCGTGGAAAGGGAAAAAGGGCTCAAAGTCAAGCTTGTCCAGAGAATGGGGCAAAAAATCGTGCAATCGACTGATTATGATTCCCACTACGGAGGTGATGCAAGCCGCGTTGTGCGGAAACGGACAATGGTCGGCCGTCTCACGATCCTGTATAGAACGGACTTTGTTTCAGGCCGAAACGGCATATTAATCACAGAAGCTTTCCAAATCTTGCAGAGCGACGCTGTTCAATATCTCCCAAATTACGAGTCTGGGAATTGGAAATTTTCTTTTATTTTTCGTTTCCCCAATTAGCTCAGGCGGAAAGATCATTAGCTTTCAGGATTGATTCCATCTCTCTTTGAATGTCCAAAACCTTTCGTACCTCGTTAGACGATTGAAAAATCGCTCTTAGCAATTCATAAAGTCCGCAATCAATAAAATTCAACGCATAAAGGAAGAAATCGAAACGACATAAATCTCAGAATTGCAAAAGAGTGAAAGTACTTTCGTGTAAAGGTCCTTGAGATATAGGTCTTTCCGAGGTGGTCAAACTTGCTTCAACTACTAGGGATTCCTACGTGATTGAGATTGACAGTTTCAAGTGCATTGGGGGAATCTTGCATGACGCAATCGGGGAAAGTAACGCCTGTCAACCTCTAACAGGTTCCCATAAATACGTCTAATAGCCACCCATTATGAAGTCGGTCTCAATTGCCTACGAGTCGAAAGAAAGAGGCCATGAATGATGGTGTCTGAGAGGGTTTCTGCGATAAATGGAATCCTTATTGAATGCATATCGTATTAAACCATATATGGAACTGCTGAAGCAAAAGGATACCGGTTGCAAGCATTAATGCCTAAAGAATTATGACAAATAAGTCCAACTTAAACATGTCCTCCAGGGCCATTGGAATGAGAGATAATATACGGGTACGATTACGAGAAAAGTGGACTCAAACCATGGCATGGATCGTTCTTTGCGAAATCCCCATCTATTCCTTCCTTAGTACACCTTTTAAATGGACTTAAACGACAGCCAGCAGAATAATGAAACCAATACGTTCGGTCCCATGACAGCGCTGCTTCCGGTTTCGCCGTCCCACTCGTGATTAATAGCGAAACTGAATCTAATCGATGACACGGGAAGAAAGAGCTGTCAACATCTGGCGTTCGAGAACCGTGGGTTGGAAGGAAGTTATAATAATTCGCCTTCAGGTATTATTCCAGCGGAGAGAAGAGAAGGTGCTTGGTCAGTGCATGAAAACAGACCGCGGCATGGTGACTTTCTCCCCTTCTATGGTGAAATTGAATAATAGATGCAGCGAGTCTTTCTTTGATTGAGGGGAAGAGAGAGGATGCTCTCTCCATATTTTGCATGTCGTCGATGTCCGCCAGTCGAGAATCCGACTTTCATTCGAATGGAGGAAGAATGAAACGCGATGTTATGAAGGAGTGGAGGAAGGAATTTTCAATAGAAATTTATGAAGAGCCTTTACCATTGTTCACCTTGCCTTTGTTCGTGGCAGTGCCCTCTGCAACTGACCAAAAAAAAAATTAAGAGAAAGGTATGAACGTGATAGAAAAATATGGAGAGGCAGGCACGTGGTCGTAAAAAAAATAATGTTTTGAATCCTTTTCTTGAAGCATCTTCTGCATCACCTTTCACGCCGACCCGGTTGAAAAGGGTCTTTGTCTCTGGAATGGATTACATGCTTTCCTTCCAGGGGCTCATGCATGTTTCCTTTCATAACTGACACCTTATCGCGCCCTTCTTGGGTCTCTGGAGCATTGAGAATCGTGCCAATAGCGAAACAACATGAACAGACTTGGCGCAATCTTGGCGGTTTCTAAGACGCTCTCTCTTTGAAATTCCTATTGTGCAATGGCTATGCCGTAATTCGAGATTTATTGCTCTTGCCACAATGATCGAGAGCATGATGAAGACATGAAAAGAAATATGCATCGGCTTATAGCTGAACTTGATTCCCTCCCACGTCGACATTTGTGAAAGGTCATAAAAAATAAACATTTCATAACTCCGGATGTTCCCGGCGTGAAGATACCATGCCAAGGGTCAGGGTTCCAATTATCTCACGTTTGAAGGAGAGGAGACCACATGAAGCGAATTCTACCACGCAACGATTTTTCAGTGAGAATATAAAACAAGGTGTTGCCCAAGACCAAGACCATGGTTGTGTCTCGGGTGTGGGGGACATAAGCAGGGATTATTATAACGGGTTTAAGAGGCCAAGAGCAAAATCACCCTTCGGTCTCCCTCTCACGTCATCTCTACGTTACGTAACACTTTTTTTTTTCTTCGGAGTAGAGACAATGACCTCTGTCTGAGTGATGGCCTGAGTTTCTCAACACAAGTCGGTATGCCCTGCATCTTACAAAAATGTTGGGATCTTATCGCGACTGGAGCTCCCCTGGACACCTACCGGCAACTCAGGATATCTATCACGTGTCATCTTATGGCTCGCAGAAAAACGAAAGGTAAAATATCGAGGTTTTTGGCACCCAAGCCAGTGCAAAAGGTCGTCACTCCTTCACCTTTGCAACCCTCTTGTGCAAGGATGTGAAATCACATTACCTGCGTAACGTACGCCTGCGAACTTAAAAGCATATCGTTTGCATGGAAATGTCGCGCTTCAAAATGATCCTTCATGGGTTGAATCTGTCTACTATTCAGGAGACTCCCACCAGCTAGTGCTTTACTGATCATTCTGTGATTTCAGCATACTGACGTAAAGACGAATATAACTGAAACATCAGAAAGGGTCCAGATTGGCACTTATGATACAGATTCCTTGGAATCTGAGAATGTTTCCGGACCGTAATCGCTTTCACTCGGGGTTCCGAATTTATGCGGCATCTATTTCTTCCGACAAGTTTCCCAACTCGAACCCTGTCACCTAAATCAAACCAAGTGTCCCCACACTTCTTCGTTACCTCATTCGATTTCAATACTTGCTCTACAAGAATCCCTCCTATGCTTAGGGCTTGGAAACCCGGAAGCTTGCCCCTTTTCGGGATTTCCGTGAGAAGATCCCGTCTGTCCTTCGTGTTGCCTCCAGGGAACATTTTAGTGGATCCCCCCGCACTAACTGCGACCATTCGTCCCTTTACACCATGCAATACGAGGGCGATTCCGAAATTTTACAGCTCCTCTCCCACAAGGAGGAAGCAGAACTAGAAGCTATGAGTGTGTGCCCATTATACCAGTAAAACATATCTTTAGAATAATCTATTTATGGAAATGGGTACGTAATGGGGCATGGTATTACTATCTGATATTGCACTTGAAAGTATTTTGAAATGATCTAAGGCGTTACGCCTTTTTTTATTTTCATGTAAGTGATGTCACAGTGATATAGCCAATTCGGATAGTTTACTTTCGAAAGGGTGGTTATTTCCAAGCGTTTCTTTCCCAGACTGAGTCCGAGAAAATTTTTTTTTGTCTGACCAAAGCGCTTGGTAGAATCAGATAGGTCTAAGTTGGCCATAAATGATCTTTACTGTGACGCTGCTTTCAGGAAAGGGTGAAAAACAGTAAAGTCAATGTGAAGGCAATCGGAATATCCCTATTCCTGACCTGGTTTGACATAATACAATTCATTAGTCTTAATCAGGCTTCCTTTACTTTGATATCAATTTGGAAGAGGACTCAGTTACGAGGTGGTCGCAACGGCTATGGTATAGGTAGCTAGCATTGATGTCATGAAGATTTCTTATTAGCGATTTTTCGAGCACTTCACTTGTAGTAGAACCCTTCCTAGTAGAAAACTGAATGAACTTTCGATGGAAAGTGAATGGGGCTTACACATACTTCTGAAAATATACAGCGTGACCGGTTGGCACTGGAATACGATGGAAAATAAAACCTAAGTACCAAGGCGCCAGAAAGCCTTTTCTTCGCTGTAGCTTCTAAACAACAGCTCATACCGAGGTGTAGAGATAACCTAGCGGCAGGAAAAATTGGAATGACACGGAGAAAGCTCACCATGACACGTGCATAGTCGATGGCTAAGGCGGGGGAATCGGGTTGTATCAAGTGACCATGCTGAAGTCGAGGCGGGAAGTGAAACGCGTCGCAACGCAGCACGGGGAGAGTAGTGAATGCGACGGAGGTCGGAACGGGACTGGTCCCACCCGGTTCTCGCCCCCCGCAGTAAAAGAACCTTAGACCTCCCCGAGTACTACGAAAAAAAGAAACCGCTCTCCCTCCCGGGTTCCCATTACGAAACTTCCCCCGCCCTACTCGCTATACTTCTCGAACGGGATCGGCGCTTTGCTCGAGATCGCGGATCGTCTTCTCGTCTTTCGTCCCCTTCTTCCTCGTACGTGATCGGTCATTGGACATCAACTCTGTCGCCATTTCGTCTCTTGCCAAACCTAGAAACGCCTTTGGTGAAAGGCTTCGGATGATTCCCCGATGAGAAACATTCTCTTTGTCGAAATCATCATTGAGAAATCAAAGCTCTGCTTCTTTTCGTCGAAACACGAAACGTCGGCGGCTGTTGTTCGTGATGCCCCGTAAATGGGAAGATGGCCTAATTGATCGCTGGACCTTGTTCCCGGTGAGTTCCTCGCCCCCACAAATACCAGGCGTGCAAAATCCCATGCATTGGGGCATTCCAGTTCAAGGGCGGAATAACTTTCTCAAGAGTCAGGAAAAGGAATGAACATTCCGCTGCTGATCCCCGAAGACACTAAACTATCACAACTAAAGTTCTATTTTGTCTCTTTTCTTCCTTGAGACGTTTTGGACACGGGTTGTCGTAAAATCGCTAGATTCCAGGGATATGAAGTCGATGGAAATTTAGAACAAACTTTTTGGTCTGGTGCGTGAATTTAAAAAATTGATCTAAGCTAGATGGGAAGATGATTGTTCCGGGATCACAAAAAAGGAAACGGGACTCCCCGCAGGGAAGCCGTTATTACAGATTTGGATCTCTATCTATGCGCCGACGCGTCTCCCATAGGGAGATGAAAATCCTTTTGCGACATCTGTAAAATCTCTTCCCATGGTTCCTTTCAACGCCGTGTTCTATATGTAAAGCAAATCGACTGATACGTTTCGGAAGAAGTAAATTACAAGTTCATTAGGGGCATTGTAATCCTGGACGTGGATCAAAAAGTGGATAAAAAAAAGGAAGAAAGGAACTTGGAACACAATAAGAACACAATAAAGCGATTGTCCTGAAGCGAATCTTCTTGCTCGTTCGTAACGAGAGCATAGCAATTATGTTGCCACTCATTGCGATCTTCATCGTTCCATCTTCCCAGTGGGATTTGAGCAACTATATATAATCTTTCATTGCGTTGCAGTACCCAGGATGCACGAAATCGGCACGGTTTGCTCATGACATGATGAAAGTGAGCACTCAATGAGGTTGGTTTCATCGTAACGGTCACCGCGAAAGAGTGGCGAACCGCTAATTATCTGATCATGAAAATCATTCTTTTCCATTTTGAAATTTTTGAGCCCGAGGGAGCCGGAGGAAACGGGATGGAAGCCGGATGGGAGCCGGCGTCTCGGGAGACAGAAATGGAAAGCGAGTGACGATGCCGGTTCGTCCCGTTATATCACGAAGACGAACGTTATCTGGGTCGGGCATGGCCCCCGGGCTCGGTAAAAGTGAATGACCATTACGTGGACTCGCTACGACCCCTTCGAGACCTGCAGGCTACGCTGCACAAAACTGATTGAAGTCGAGGTCAAACATACCTCATGTCGGTTCCTTTCGTGGAGGGACGACCCGCGTTCGAGCTCGCACAACCGCAGCAAAAGCTGCATGCAAATGACCGTAGAGACGAGGACGGGGTGAGGTCGACGTAAAAAAAAAAAAAAAAACTTCCCTCGTCCACTTCCGAATGGACTCTCACTCTCTTCGGACATCGCTTTCTCTCTCTCTCTCTCACTCTCTCACTCTTGCTCTCTGTGCTACAAGCCAGGCCTTCCTCATTTCCCTCATTTCCCTCTTGCTTCTCTCATAATGACCTACTCCATGGCCAGTTCTTGTTGATCCCGTCTCGACGCATGGAATTATTTTCGTTCGTCACTCGAACTCGCTGACGTCGAGCCGGAAGAAGAAAAAAAATGCCGGTAGCATTCCGCCGACCGGGAATATTTCACCCTTTCTTCCCATGGTCGACGCGATTACGTAAAATTGCCTCAGCGCTTCCGATGATGAATATTTGAAAGAGGTTTTAGAGTTCCGGGGCGTTTTCAAAGGAGCGAATGTATATAAGAGGTGCTTTCAAAAACTAATGATCGTTGCGGCACAGGTCCTTCGTCTTTCCGGGAACGACATTTGTGTCGAGTGCTCTTAATGGCTCTGTCTCTCCTACACCTGTGGGAGATTTCAGGTTTGTATTTAATGCAGTTAATTTTTCAACTAGTACAGTCGGTCGAACGAACGGATGGAATGCGGTTGCCTTACGAAGAGGAACAAGGGGCCAAAATGAAATATGTTGCGCACGAAGGCGATAATGCATTCGTTCTTGGGTAGTTTCAAGGATTTCCAGCAGGCGCAGTTCTTTAGTTCCTTAATGGGAACAACGATTTCGCGAGGAACCGCCCTTCGTTCCTCTTTTGGAGAATTAATCTTATTTAATGAGTTGATTCAACCAACTGTTCTTGAGATGTTTGGCAGAATTAATGACAAGTCTTGAGAAAACATAGTTATTAAAGCAGTCGGCATTACAGTATCGCTCCTGGAAATTTAAAGGAGCCGTTCCGTTACGATCGCTCCTTTTTGGAACGCACTTCGTGGAACGACCAGGAAAGACAATCATCGATCGACACCAACAAATAATGACGAAGCATGTCAGTCCCGAGATTCCGTTTTCGTGCGGAGAAGACGCAATAGAGTGCAACGGAAGAGTGTTTGATCGATGGAATGCCGTCGACGGCCGAGACCTTTCCCTCCCTCTCGGCGGATTCGCTCCCGTCTGCTCAGGATTCGCTCCCAGATTCGCACTTCCAGCTTTTTAGGATCTTTCGTGCTCCGTCGCCATGGATGATCGGACGGTGGACCGGGTTTTCGCCGGGTGTTTGGAGAGTCTTCCTCCCGTGTCCTCCAAGATCGTCCGCATTTTCACCAGCTCCACCTTCACCGGTAATCGACGATGACGTGATTCTCTCGTGTTTTTAGCAGAACAGACCCGAACGAAAGCGGACGAACTGGTTCCGCCGGTTCGGAGCCCAGACGATCTCAGACGTTTCATTTTAATATAAATCGTTTCGTTTCGTATAAACTGATGAGAATTCGGCGTCGATCGCCCCGTGCAGATACGACGCTGGAACGGAACACGCTGATGGCGGAGGTGTATCCCAAGCTGAAGGAATACTGTCGAGAGAAGCACGGATTGGAATTCCAGGTCGTGGACATGCGTTGGGGAGTCCGAGACGAGGCCACCGACGATCACATGACCACGGAATTGTGCATGAAGGAGATCGACAACTGTCAGCGGCTCTCCATGGGCCCCAATTTCGTCGTAGGTTCATCGAAACTCTTCGAGACGGGTGCGACGTGACGTAACAGGCTCGATGTGACGTAACGGGCGTTCGACCCGCTCTTTTAGGTGTTTCTGGGTCAGAAGTACGGCTACCGCCCGATCCCGACCTACATCTTGGGATCGGAGTTCACCCAGCTGAGAGACAATCTGAATGCCATGGGAAACGACGGGAATCTGTTGGACACTTGGTATCGGAAGGATGCCAATGCCGTTCCCTGCGTCTACATTCTGCAGCCGATCTCGTCCATCTTGGTCAATTTCAACAACAAGGTCAGCGTCGAGACGGGGGGAAACGGGATTTCTTGCCGGTCACGTGGTGCCAGGCCGGATATTTGGGGCATGCTTGCTGGAATTCCTCTCTCGTCTTGCGCAATATTTCTGGAAAAGTCGATCGCCGAGCTTGAAAACGTGTACGGGTTCCTGTTTTCCGGCCGGAATGTAGATTCATGTTTCCAGTTTTTATCTCGTGGAGGCGATCTGGTAATGAATGCCAACCCTTTGAATGAAGCCGCTCTGAAACAGTCCGGCGAATCGTATGAAATATGTGATAGATGCTAACGATCTTATAATGATTTTCATATAAATTTATTGGAACTTCAAGTTCGAGAAATTAGAAGTTACTCAACGACAACGAGCTAAAAGTTCAGAGGTAATGTAGCTGAATGAAGTTGTTACCTTTTGAGCAACTTACCGGTAAAGCTAAAAGGGAAATTTACTCTATCGTATAACGATGCAATGTCTAGATCAAGCGCGAGGTTTCAAAATGTGGAACAGTATCATAAGTGAATTATATGGGCATTTCGTCATTTCTTTGTGAACTAACGAAGATCGATTCCCGAAGCGATGCGGCGATATTTCTTTTGCAAGGAGAGGCCGAGGACTTGCTCATTCATTGTTACGTTTCTGAAATGGTTCAGAACGGGAACAACGATGAAGACGCGCGTGAAACACGTAGTCATGTAACGAGGCGAAGCGTGACTTTGCCAATAAAAGTGCAATTTTATTTGCAACACTCGTGTCCTACTTCCATGGTTGCCAAAGGTGTGACTTCATGACTGCATGACTTATTCATATAAGTTTTCTAAGTCAAATGCGGACGAAAGAAAGTCAAATGCGACAAAGAAAGTGAAATGAGTCGCTGTAGTTGATGTCGGATTTTAGGGAAAAGCGTGTTCGACATAAGGAAAGCCAAATGCGACAGGTACACAAGGTATACCATACCCAAGTCATGGGGAAAACCTTCTTGCATTTTCATTGCATTTTCATAACGTGCAGCTTCAGGTGAAGCTGCACGTTGTGAAAATGCAGTAAAAGTAATCTTTATTATTAATCTTATTTTTCCCTTTGCAAATAATGTTATTTGGCAATCATCGATGTGTCATGGTTAGTCGTAGTCATAGTCATTATTGACGACTGTCATTCCGTGATTCCATCGATCTTTTACGGCGACTTTCGCGCTTTTCCCAACTTTCGAAAATCGTTACGAATGTTTGTTTGCAGCGAGTGCCGAAGCTGCAAGCCCACGATCAAGCGACGTGGTGGGACACCCTGGGGAAGATGCAGAGACTCCTGCGCAAGGCGGCTCTCAGCCTCTACCAGAGCACCAAGATGGACAAGGACGCGATGCACAATTACTTCATGTCCGGTCAGATCCGAAATTTCGTCGCCGTAAAGAGTGACCAAAGGCCACAACTACGCTATCAGGAAAAAAAAAAACAAAGTTTATCTCAAGTTCTCGGTCGAATTTGATGCTGCAAAGCATTTTGGCAGAAGATAAAAGATGAAAACCTCGAAATAAAATTTTTTGGATTACAGTAATAATGCGGCCGCAGTCCTGAATTAGATCGTTCACGCGAATCACGAGCGCCTTACAGGAAGTTTGCTCCGATTCTCATGCGACTCGATGGGATTCCAGTCACGGAGCGGGAGGTGATCCGAGGGATCCTCAACGTGAGAAACACGAAGAACCACTGCCTGGCCTACGTCAGATACATCAACAACATCAACCTCCAGAACCTCCGACGCGCCTCCCAGTTCGTGGACATCGTGAACCGGAACATCGACACCGAGTCCTCCAAGCTCCTCGCCAACCTCCGCGACGAGAGGCTCCCGGCCAAACTCGAATCCACCAATTTGCAGAGGTGAGGGATTTCGAGGCTTTCCGCATTTTTTTTGCAGTTCGTGACTGAACGTTTAGCAGGCGAATGCAGTCCAACTCGGTTGTAATGTCGACTGGACCCGAAAAAAAATTATTATAGCCGAGGTTGATTTTGTTATATGAGAGTATTTACGAGCTTGTGTTGTGCAATTACTTCATTGTGTATTTATGATGAACTTATCATTATTTACTTATGATGAGTCCAAGTTCGCGACCGACCTCTGGTTTCTACTTTTGCTGCTCAACTCAGAGGACGGGAAACGAAGACGAATTAATGAGTCATCGATTTTGTCAGCGGAATTAAAGGAATTTGAATGCGAGTGATTCCAATGTTTCATGACGCTCGTTGCCATCGCAGCCGAACAGCAAGAATGAGAGAAAAATCCCCCTAAATCTTCTGGTTTCATCACGATGAAATTTATGGAAGAAAATGATGTTTGCGACTTTCTTTTGTCCCTCCGTTTAAGAAGAAACTAGATGCTTTCATGGACAGGCAAAAAGGTGGGGGCAATGTTGACGTTAGGTACTAGACAGTAAGCAACTATGATAGTCAAATAACAAAAAAAAAACAAAAAAAAACGAAACAAAACCAAAAGAGGGTTAGGCCTACCCTAAAATTAAGGAACGCTCAACTTCGACACGTGATATCGAAATGGGCGAAATCGCTTCTTGATATCACTAACTATCCTGAAATCCTAAAATCCTGAAAACCATAAATTGACTTCGCAATATATGCTGGTTCTGGTAATAATGAATCTCGCTTCATGAGAGGTGTGAATACTTATTTATTTTTTTTTTTTATTTTTTTTTTAGCAGGAATTAATTTATTCTTGTTTAAACCTCCTTTAAGCATTATTTGTCGCTACATCCGAGGTCTCAACTGATGCTGTAAAAAAAAAAAAAACGAGTTCTACTGTATTATCGAAATGGGCGAAATCGCCTCTTGATATCACTAACTATCCTGACATCCTGAAATCCTGAAAACCATAAATTGACTTTGCAATAATTGCTGGTTCTGGTAATAATGAGTCTCGCTTCATGAGAGGTGTAAATACTTATTTATTTTTTAATTTTTTATTAGCAGGAATTAATTTATTCTTGTTTAAACCTCCTTTAAGCATTATTTGTCGCTACATCCGAGGTCTCATAACTGATGCTGTAAAAAAGAAAAACGAGTTCTACTGTATTTTAAGCGATAGCCTTCTCAAGGAAAATGAAAGGAACACGAAATACGACCCCAGACTTGGACTCACATGGAGAAATAATAAACGCTGGCAAGGACGCGTTGAAAAAAAAATTTGAATAATTAGTAATTGTCGTTCCGGCAGTTTTGATGAAAATTGCTTTTCTTCATGCCGTTTCATTGCATGGACATCGTTGAGTACAGTATAATCGATCGAAATGGTGAGAACGTTGCACTTAAATTAGTCGCACGTGATTTAGCCGCTCGTGATTTTGTCGCACGGAAGTTATGCACGTGTAATTTTCCTTTTCCTTGCCAGGAAATTTGTCAGAAGTTAAATTCGTTTCATGCAAATGCCTTTGAGGCGGAAAATGCTTTCCTCGACCGTGTGATCTTTCACCTCCGCGAAAGGGAGAATTAGTATGCGCGCTCTCGAGGGCAGCGGGGGGGTAGGGGAGGGGGGGGGGGAGAGGGGGTTTCCCCTTTTGCATCCTTGATGGGGCAGGAAGTGATTCAGTGTCTGAGTGGTTTTCGTGGTATTCGGGGATGTGAATTTCTCTGGGATTTGCGCTTTGTTTTTTAAGTGGAAGGATTGCACAATGCACGGACGGATGAAACTGGATTTCGGTACCTCGGGGGTGTTCTCGATGGATTTTATTCATGAGGAATCCCCTCGGGGGACGGAGGGACAAAAGAAAGTCGCAAACATCATTTTCTTCCATAAATTTCATCGTGATGAAACCAGAAGATTTAGGGGGATTTTTCTCTCATTCTTGCTGTTCGGCTGCGATGGCAACGAGCGTCATGACACATTGGAATCACTCGCATTCAAATTCCAAGTGCCAGATGGGTAAAGAACGTGCGAAAGCGCGATTTCTCTTCTTGATTATAGCAATTTCCTGATGGTCTTCATCTTGACAGAGCTCATGAAGTTTTCGTTATTTTCTTCGAAACACTTCTGAAAATAAAAGTCTTAGGATAGCATTTAATCGAGGACGATCGAGGACGAAGGACTATTCGAAACCTATTCGACGAAATTACACCCGATGAATGACGACGCATCTCACATGTGAGATGTGTCACGTGAGATCAAGTTTCATGCGTTAACATTAGTGCAGGGTCGATTGCGTGTGAAGCCTCTTCGACGACGGACGACCGCTGCCAGCGGTGTTTTCATGATGCTGCCTCGGGACGATGTCGTTCATCTTCATTTGTCATTTCTCATGCGTGCATTCCGGTTTTCATTCATACTGAGACTGTTTGACTCCTTAGGAATGCTACCCGGGTAGAAGTTTCCTGAATACCATCATTGAATACTTTGTGCGTCGTTATGTATTTTAAACACAGATTTAGTACCTCGGATTTTAAGTGACAGGTTAGTGCATTTTCGAACTTCATTTGAAGTACAACTACCAGAAGGAAATGTTGCAAATTAATTTCCAAAACGCTCAGTACAGTAGTTACCAATTTTCCATAATTAAATTAGTAAAGCGAATCTTGCGAATTAAACCAAAAGGGTATTTCATGGGAGTCTAATTCGGCTCCAAGTTTCGGAAACCGGCTTGGTTATAGACGAGCTATCGCAGTCCGTCCAGCGCGACCAATAGGATCGTGCGTTCCCTGCTGACGTCATTAGGTCTCGCGACATCCACTTTGGGGGTCGGTTTTGCCTCACTCGAATCATTCCTTTCGGTGCGTTTAGATATACGGTGGAGTGGATCGGACGGGAAGGACTGGATAAGGGGACCCATGAAGAATATCTTCAACACTTCATCACTCATTTCTATCGGAACATCACGAAACTCGTGGATCGAGCGATGAGGAAAGAGGATTCTTCCACGCAGGGACAGATCATCACGGAAATCCTTCAGCACCTCCACGCTTGCAATAATTCCGTCAAGGTACGTTCGCACTTTGAAAAAGAATGGAAGAAAATGTCAATGTTGGGCATTTTATCGCGGCTCTCTGAAAATGTAAACGTTAGGTTTTCTACGGCCGAGAGGAGGACCTGGAAAAGATCAGAGAATACATCGCCGGAGCGTCGGACAAGCCGATGGTGCTGCACGGAGAAGGAGGATGCGGGAAGACGTCGATGCTGGCCAAAAGCGCCTCGTTGACCTCGCTGTGGCTGGCCGAGGCGAAGCCGGTCCTCATCTTGAGATTCCTGGGCACGACCCCCGATTCCAGCGGTCTCACCCCCATGCTCACCTCTCTCTGCCAGCAGGTCTCAGTCGTCCTTCCGTGGAAACGGTCGAAGTCGGCACGGATTCGATGGGTTCGCAATGAATTTTCAATTTGCAGATTTCCTACAACTACATGCTTCCGTACGAGGACATTCCCGACGATCTGGTTCCTTTGACTGCACACTTCAAGCAGCTTCTCTCTTATGCCTCCGAGGAGCAAGTAAGAAGAACAGCTATATTATCTCGGGAATCGACTTCCATTCCCTTTCTTATCGACATTTGTCGGTGTATCGTGTTGCCAGCCGCTGATGGTATTTTTGGACTCGGTGGAGCAGCTGACTGGAGCTCAAGACGCCAACAAAATGTCTTGGCTTCCCACCACTCTTCCACCTCGCGTCAAAGTCTGTTTCGTAAAAGAAAGAAAAAAGGGCAAACGAAAGGAAAACATACGAATACCCATTGACAGTAAATCTAACTTAATTTTGAATATCATGGACGGTCTCTTTAGATCGTGGTGTCATGCGTATCGGAAGAGAACCGAGACGAGGTCTCTCAAGAATATTACCTTCTCCGAAAGATGATCGACGCAAAGGAGAACTTCATGGAGGTTCGAGCACTCGGTGAGGACCTGGCCATGAACATCATCAAGTGAGTTCGGTTCATCGAAAATTTCATATATTTTTGCCGAGCCAACAACCATCGGTTTCTCGACGGGACGACAGGCAGTGGATGAAGAACGCCCATCGAGACCTGAACAACTTCCAGTGGAGGGTCGTGTCCAACACGTTGAGCAAATGCTCTTTGCCAATTTTCGTCAAACTGGTGTTTGCGGAGATCTGTCGCTGGAAGTCCTATTCCCGGCCGCAGGAGACCCATCTCGCATCCACCGTCATGGACTCCATCATGATGCTCTTCGAGAGGATCGAAATCCAGGTAGAATATGGGGAGATTCTGATTCTTCCCGATCGCTTGAGATGCAGCGTAGCGAGAGAATGTGTTGGAAATGACTGATATCGAAAACGAATGAAATGGCAGCACGGGAAGATCCTGGTGGTTCACGCCCTGGCGTACATCACGGCGTCGAAGAGCGGGCTGTCGGAGTCCGAGCTCGAAGACCTTCTGTCGCTGGACGACCGAGTCCTGGACGACGTCTATCAGTACCACATGCCGCCGGTGAGGCGGATCCCGCCGCTGCTCTGGACTCGCATCCGCAACGATCTCCCGAATTACCTGTCCGAGCGAGAGGCCGATGGCGTCTCCGTCCTCAATTGGTACCACAGGTCGGTGAAGACGATCCCTTCACTTACAAACGAATTCAAGGATTCATTCATTCATTCGTTTGCAGAAATTGAAATTTGAGAATCAGTATTGAGATTCCCAAATCGGCTTCGGGTCTCGTATTTGACTCATCGAGTCACTCAGACCTACCAAAGCAGCAAAAAATGAGTCCATTTTACATCAGATGAACTTAATATGACCGTGTGATGTTCACATGATGTCTTGTAGACTTCAGTGTTTAAAATGTCCCTATGCGTCAACGTCACATGGACATTCCCGTGAAAGTCCATTTAACATTTATGATGGTATATGAGTGTCCTAGCGTGGACGTGCGTTACACCCATATAATTTCTCATTTCTGTCCACTCTTGACAATTGATGATAATTTAATGTTAATTTTTTCCATACCGCTCAACTCCCTGGAAGGAACTTCACGTCAACGGGTCAGTAACTGTCAAATAGGAAGCACTCCATCGCGTACTTTCACCAAAAACCTTTCTCCTCTAAAGAAGTCACAATATACACAATCATATGAAAAACCCGTCTTTGTTAAGAGGCGTCCGAGCTTCTTTAAACACTCAGCCCATCAAGTTATTTCCCGAGTCGAACTGAATCAGAATTGTCTGGAGTCTTCCTGGACTCTGTTACCTCTTGAGGCAAACGTTTGAGGAATTACAATGTCTCCCCTCAAGTTCTCTGTGGGAAAATATCGAATTCCCTCTTAAGCGTAAAATTATCTGTACCCATTCAAATGCCATCGGCGATTCAGGCAACATCTTGCTTTGGGTGCATGAACCTTGGTTGTTCGTGTGGCTGCCAGATAGATTGGATACTCCCAATCTACAAAAGAACATTGGATAAATGTCTTCTTTGTGGAAAAGTTGAGGATGTTGGGTAGATACCTCATAACACAGTATGTTGATGGAACGTTTCGAAATGTTGCCAATGTTGCTCCATGTTGCAAGTTGATGAACAACATTGATAAAACATTGCTTCAACGTTTTTCGCTTTTGAGTACTAGGGAAGTTGCTGAGACACTTCCACGAATGTTATTGCAACATTTGCTATCAATATTGAAAGAATGTTGACACCGTTGACATCAACAACGAAGCGACAACATTCTGAGACAATTTGCTGTTAAAAATTTGAAGGAATTGTAAAGTTGTCCTCCAGGCCACCAGATGGAGGCGTAGGTCTCGCTTTTCGAAAGGTACACTAAAGTGCGCTTCTCCCTTTCCCTGGTATCTTTCCTCGCAGGAGTGTTTATTACATTGCCATATGTCTCGTCTAGTTTCATTATAGGAATCGATAAAGGCAGACACTTCATCATTTGTTATCCCCATATTTGAGATAGATTAATGGAGGCCAGGCTGAAAACGAGTTCAGGTTTCCTATCAGAACCCGTTCCCAGGACTACATATTTGATAACCCCCAAGAGATGAAGAGGAATGATTAAAGAGAGCCTGCGAACTCAATCCAGCACTTCTTACTTCCGAGAATAGGATGGGGATGGATGAAATCGCAGATATTCCTGGAAAATATTGTAGCTGGACCATTTCCTGAAATGTGCTGTATTAAGCATATCAAGGTGAAGAGTACCCTAACTCCAAAATGTGTTATGTCTCCTGTCTATCCATGATACAGATACTGTATGGGCATGGGCAGGTGTTATACTGGTACAGGCTTCGTCCTGTTGATAGGAACGTTTCCACCATGACCGGACAAGGAATTAAAGTATATGATACGAAATGATGAATGGAATAATTCAATATTCGCAGAATATTGGTCCAGTTCAGGGTCAATGAAGCCTATGCTTTCCCGAGCAGTAATGCCAATATAGATCCAGATTAGGTGCCAGTGAAGCAACGTTCTCCATCAACATTGCAACAACTTGAGTTGAACAGTCCTGAAACGTTACTGCAACATATACGTCACGATCTGCAACGTCGATGTAGTGTTCTTTTGCAAAATTTGAGCAACGTTGACGTTTTGGACATTTACACATTGAAGCAATATCGTTCGTCAACATTATTGAAACGTTGCTGGAGTATTTTGTGTTATTAGGGACTGTCTTTGCAAAAGTAGGTCATGGTCCTCATATTCAAGCGAATGTGAAATGGATCTGATGCTAAGAGCCGTGAAGCTGAATTGGCAATGTCACGTTGCAACATAAAAATTACTGTAAAAATAAATGTCCATATTTAATGTGTTCACGTTATTTCATCTATACATATTGGAAGGCAACATTCGTGCGGGTGATATCTACTTTGCATCATAGTGACATCTATTTTTATGGCAGTGGCAGAAAATGGGTATTATGAACAAGAAATGAATGTACGATGTTTATTTGTTGCTTGGGTGGCTGCTTCAAACTCAAGTGGTAAAATCTGCCATCTCTCCGTGTACAATAGTCCAGTTAGTTGTTTTTCAGAATATATTAGGAGTTGCACACAACTTTGGTGACTTTCGAAGAAGCTAAGAGCGGCCTCAGAATCCTGCAGTCTGCCAAGCACTTGTAAATATTGTTGCGGTCTGTACAGACAATTCAAGGAAGCGGCCAAGGAACGATACTTCAAGAACCAAAGCATGGCGCTGTACTTCCACTCGAGCATCGCAGATTACTTTCTTGGGGTCTGGGGTGGAGGGAGGCCCAAGCCCTTCCGATACACCGAGATTCAACGTCATCGGTATGCAACTTCCATCGCAGATCACTCTCGAGAGAGTTCGTGTTTTGAACTCGTTTCGAGAGACGTTTGGTTCTCGTTCAAAAGGTTCGGCCTGAAGGACAAGGAGGGGGAGGCAGACCGGAAGGTGCCTCTTCAGCCCCTGGTCTACTATGGCAAAGATGGAAAGGTCTCTCGTCACAACCTCAGAAAGGTCCGTTTTTTTCTGTCTCTCTTATACGAACTCTCCGTTTGTCTACTTTTAAACAGAGAGGTAGGGCAAATACCCCAGTTTTTGGCCACACTGATACGACTCCCATAGGAAGAGGACACCCTGTGCACACACCGGGAAACACTAATAATAGGTCCTCGTACGGGAAGATGTTAGAATGCTTGAAAACGGCCAGATTAGCTAACTATGCTGGATTTAAGCCCCAACAACTGGAGACCGGCCAGAAACCTGGGTGCTTACACTAATACACGATCCTATATGGATAGTTGTCTTTTGTCATCACTTGTTCTGTCCAATGTCAACTCAAGAAATATTACATATCTTTACCAAGAGCACGACAGGCTACAAATATGCAATAGAAATAACCCGTTACCACTCAACCGAGCGAGATGCCGGTAAAAACAGGATTCTCCAGATTCTCAAGAGTCTTTCTACTCGTCTTACGTCATGCACTAGCGTTGTGAAATCCTAAGCCGAGCCTTATGGTTTCTCGTACTTTCGGGGTGCTGAATGCAGTTTGGGGAATTGCCGTTCCACTTGGTGCGAGCCCATCGGTTCGCGGATCTCTACAGCAACGTTCTCTTCAACTATCAATGGCTCCATGCCAAACTCACTTCTTGCCCGCTCCAGGCCGTTCTCTCCGACTTCGAAGATGCTTGTGCTAACACCGAATCACAAGATGGAAACAGGTGTCGTCTCGATTCATTTTAGGCTTACTCTAAAAGGAAACTCTTCTAAACTGTTCGTCTTTCTCAATTAAAGCCGAACTTACTTGAGTTTGGCACTAAATAGAGAAGAGGTCTGTGTGCTGGTGTGAACTCTCATGAAAACAAGAGGCTGGCATTGGTAGCGAGTCAAGATACAGTAGACGCCGCTTATTGTGCTATTATTACCAGATGGATCAGATGGACCAGATTGATGATGGATTATAGTCGGACCACTCCATCACTGCGGTTACCGTAAAGCTTGAAGGGGAGGAAAAGGGTTGAGTAACCAGGGTTTCGATCCTTTCATCTGGGCTGTAGCGTGAGATCTTCTTGTAACTATTCTGACTAATGCCTCCGATGAAGGCGATTCGGTAATGAAAGTAATGGAGTCATAGTTTATTTTTATGTGTTGTTATCAGGCGCGCAGTCCTATGAAATGCCTCTACACCAACATGATCGTTAAAAGCATCATCCAATGAGATATCCAATGATAATATTGAGTTCGTTGGTTTCATGAAGAGGATCAGCCAGCACACATCGATCTGAATCTGCATGCAGACAAATGCAAAAAAGAGACCCAATAGGGTTGATAAACGACCACAGAATTAAACTAATCTGAATTCTAAACAAATTTCTCCCTGCTTGTGCGACATCGAAGAGAGGAGGCCAGGAAGAGAAGCAGGTAAGTTCCTTTACTTTCGTATTCAATTTTTAACTTTACATATTTTAATGTGGAGCTAAAATTATCGGGGAAAATAATTATGATATGAAAATGAGTTTTTGGGAAGAGATTCGACTCGAAAAAGTTATAATCTAGGAATGAAACAATTTTCTAGGGAGATAATGTTGGTGGCTGATGCATTGAGACTGGGAGGGGCAATATTGAGTCAATATCCGGACATGTTGGCCCCTCAACTCATCGGCCGACTTCTTCCAGAAATCGCCGGCAATGAAAATGTGCTAAAGCTCCTGAAACAATGCGATGCCGAGGGACCCGAACACTGTTCCCTCATCCCCGTCTACCACTGTCTCCATACTCCGGGTGGACCTCTCAAAGTAGGAACCTACTTGGTTGCATTGATTTACATTTTTCTTGTATCCATGTCCTCGATACTCATGAAAAAAAAAACTGGTTAGTATTCCCTGGAAGGGCATCAGTTTGCGGTGTTCGGCTTCTGCTTGACTTCGGACCTCCGCTACATTGTATCGGTGAGCAATAAATTCATCACCTGGGACCTGTCAACCTCCGACCTTGCACGGGAAGTCGTCCCAGGCGTGGAAGGAATCATGCAGAACCTTCTATTGAGCCCTGACAACCGGCATGCCGTAGCTTACACAAACAACAACCAAGTAAAACGTTGTTCCATCGACAAGGACGAGAGAGTGACTCCAATCTATGCTGAATAATGCTCGGCATTCGAACAGACGGTGCTGCTGAATATGCTGACGGGAGAGTATCTGATCCTGGAGAATCCGCTGCCGGATGGAGAAAACGTGGAGGGGACGCAATTGAGCGACTCGCATCTGGTCATTCACGGCTCGCACACGTGGACTCTCTTCAACCTGAAAGGGGAATTCCAGGATTCCCAGGAGATCGAGGGGGAAAGGAGCATTTTGAAGATGGGCTTCTCGGATCCGGATGAGTATTTTCTCATCCTCTGGCAGGGTCAGCAGGATGATCCGGAGCTCAGTCTAGATACCTATGTCCAAGGTCATCCTTTGACCACCTTGCATTTCCATAGGTCTGTTTCCGTTATTTTTTCTTTTTACTTGGTTCTTGATTAAGATGAGCTTTTCGGAAACTTTCTCACCATTTCGCCATTTCAATAATCATATATCTCTTTCAGTTTCTACTAGTACTAATTTTTTTTTTTACGATCTCCGCCTGAAAGAAGCTCGTTAGGTTCTCCGTTGCTTATAGTGCAATGGCATTCTCGGAGGACCAGCGAAAGGTGTACGTATGCAAAGAGGGGCGTGATGGGCTGACAGTGTACAAAAGAGGCCTCACTGCCTGGGATGAAGAATCTCAATTACCTTCTTGCGGTCGGGTGCTCCTTCAACTCGCCATCCTCCCTCCCGATCTCCTGAATCTCATCGGCACTTCCATGTCCGGATTCCACGTCTGTTCATCTTCCCTTCTCCATCCCTCCTTTCTTAATGGGAAGAATCAATGTTCATGGAAAATGTGTTGGACCAGGAGAGGAGAGAAAGGTCAGGGGAGAATAGAAGAATCTTTGTGCTCCTTATGGCAAAACCTGCATCGTTTACGCCTGAACATATATATACTCATCTCTTCTGGTTCAATCCTCAGTGGTTAAATGCATAGGAAATAGCAATGTTAAGGTGTGTAACCATTCATCCTGTGTGCAAACTATGCATCAACTTCGCGTATCAGAGGCTGAATTTCCATGGTTTCTGAAGATTTATTTCATAGTCAGGTCAGGCAAAAAAAGGCAGAAAAGAACTTGTCGCGGGAATTCTCGAGCATTTCCTTATTTATTTATTTATTTATTTTTCCATTGTTAAAGTGTTTAAATTTGTATTTTATTAACTGTAATTAGCTATGGTATGAACTGCATTTACTCTAACTTCGCTTTAATTAATTTAAAATTAAATATATCATTATTTATTAAGGACGGAATCTATATGACGCGTCCGATTCCCGGCAGACTTTTCACCTATTTCCCACCGAATCGGAGCGAGTCAGTCCCAAGTCAGTGATAAATCTGGCGACATCTTCACTGATTTGCCATGGATTCGTCACTGATTGAAACCCACTCTCTGAAACGGAACATGTTCTTCTTTCTCACTAACACAAATGAAATTTCGTGTCTTTTCCGACGAGCCACCAGAGACTCTGAGAGCAAGGAAATAGTCCAATTCCTAAGTACAGCACTTAGATCGTTCTGATGGAACGATTGAGTCCAAATAAGGTAAAATCGTGATGCAAGTCGGAATGACGAGTTATCGATTCGCCGGGGGGCGCGTCTCACGCCTATTTGGAGGCCGGAAGGATCCCAGTCCTCATCACGTCATATTCCGCTTCCGTACGTGACAGCTCATAAATGAAGACGCATTAGGCCGTAAGAGTCTCGAATCCATATTCAAGAGGGTCGGTTGAAAGGTAAGTTTCGGTTTTCCTTTCTTGTCGTTCCGTTTGTCCTGAGTCTGCCAGAAGACCCGGAAGGATGAGCGAAGAGGGACTTTCCCGCATCGGCATAAAATCCCTACATCGCAAAACATGCGTTTAGTTAGCCTGCACGTTACTCCCATTGCAGCTTGATAAAATGAGACAAGTTGGAGAAAAAAAAAACTGCTGATATTAAATACTGTCGACATTGATACATCTGCCGAGGCGGAAGGTATCACATGGAAATCTGGGGCTAATCGGCTGATCGTCTGACTTTTATCCTTCGGGCGGTCGGTCTCGACTCGGTAGAAAGTCCATGGGAAATCGGACGTGTCGAAATTCCTTTAAGGTGTGGAACTTGGATCGGAAGGAAGTGAGATCTGTGAAGTTGCCCGAGGGAGTTCGGAACATCTCGATCAAAGCGTTGCATAGCAATTCCGCAGTTCTTTCCAGAGACAAGGAATACCTAACGGCGGGTGTCAGGTCGGTCGATTTCGTCTCTCGAGTCGGAGTGGAGCCGGAGAGGTGAATCGATTCATCAGGTCGTCAGATTTCTCTTCCAGGAAGAATTTGTACGTTTGGAGTATGAAGACTTGCGAGTTGCTCATCAGCCTGGATGCCCATTTCGCCCGCATCATCGACCTCACTCCCCTCACCGTCGGCGTCTGGAATTCCGTACGATGAGACAGATCTTTTTTTTCCCCCAAAGAATCTGGATTTATGGAGATGAAAAGAATGCGATGCTCTCGTTCAGGTCGTGACATCGTCGATCGACAGGACGGTGAAAGTGTGGAACCTGAACAACATCTTCGAGCAGGTCCACGTGATCGACCGGCACGAGATGCAGATCGATGCCATTAGGTATCGATCGGAAACGTTAAGAATCCTTAGAACCTTAATTCATCGATAGATGCAATCTGAAGATTTTTTCCTGCAGCCTCTCGGCGTCGAAGGGGCTGGCCGTGACGGTGACCAGAAGTTGCGTTGGGATTTGGTCGATGGCTCGAGGTCGACTGTTGGCCCGTTTGGCCGACTCCCCCCTGGGGGCCATCGTTACTCACGCCGTCGTCACCCAAGACGGTCGTTACATCGTCTCCTCCGAATCCGGCAACATCCTAGTCTGGGATGCCGAGAATCACCAGGTCCTTTTCAAGGAAGAGCAACCCGCCATCAAACAGGTCTAATCTCGAAAATGTTATTTATTCATATTTTATTGTAATCTCTCGATACGATATCGAGGCATCCCTGGTTTTTCTGCGCGCGACATCTCGGGTAAGTAAGGAAGACGCCTCCCGAGTTTTTTTTTTTCAGTTAACGCAGTGCTTCAAATGCGATAAATTGTCAAAGTTGAGGGAAATCGTCGCAGAGAAGCAGCTCAAAGCCTTCGCGCGCGAAAACATGGCGGAAACAGTCACGTTATTGTTTTTTTTCCCATTAAGTCCTCTTATACGTTATTACAATTGCTTTAAAAATGTTAAAGTAAAGATTCTCTTGTTATCGGTGAGAGATCTCCTATCAGCATTGTTCAAACCTCATGTTTTTGCGCACATTTCAGATGAATGGAGAGTAATTTTTGCCCAAAAAAAAGTCTACATAGCAATTATTTAAAATGCAACCAGAGCACAGATAATAAAAAAGCACAATATAAGCACAATTTCGTTTCTTGGCAAGAAACAGCTCCCGAATTCCTTCTTCAGGGCGAATTTTTCATACTTCAGCGTCGAAAAAGTATTGCGTTTGAAGTACTCGGTGAAATATTTTGAAACTCAGCACTTGAAGTATTTCTAATCCATCCGAGATGAAATTAGCAGGAATTTATGAGACTCGCATGACATCTGATGAAGACTAAAAGAAAATTAACTGAAATTGGGTTTTTGAGATATAAGAGAAAATGAAAGAGATGACAAGATGTTATGGGCTGTATGGATGATATCCAATCAACTGAATGCATTCAACTTCGGCAAGGGTTCCCATGAGTATCCATGTTTAAATGAGTTGCCATTCCCTTAGAAGCTTGCGTGAAAACGGCGGCATTCGATGCGATTAATCTTCATGCATACGGCTGAAAGTTATGTGAAATTTCTCATCACCGAGCTCGCGATACGGATTAGGCCAAGCGTCTTCTCGGCTCATTTTGGGCTCATTTTGGCTCGGCGTTTGCGTAGGTGCTGCTGCTGGACGGAGACACGAAGTTCGGGTCGGTGTCCCGATTGGGGACGGTCGGGGAGGGCCGACTCCAGCTCGTCGTCAGGCATCTCCCGTCCGGGGAGAAGATCTACGACTTGGAATATCCCATTCGAACGCTGAAACCCGTGACCGTCACCGCCGATGGCGTCTACGTCGTCTTGGTCGGGTACGAGAAACTCAAGGATACCCTGATGGTGCATCACGTGAAGACGGGGACCCTGTTGCACAAGATCACGCCGAAGTACCCGAACATGAAGGACTTCACGGCGGTCGTTCCGTTGCCGAACAGGGTCAATCAGGTCGGTGCAAGTCACGTTTCCCTTTCTATTACCCACTCCGACATGCAATTTAAAAAAAAAGGAGGCGAATGACTGTTAGACCCAAATCAAGGAAATTTTTTGCGGTGGAAACCATCAATCGTATTTTTTTTACGGGGACGAGATGCTTGCGTCTTCTGGGGCGGCTTTTTCTGCTCAGCCAAGCGTTGAAGTGCACTAGAGCTTGGTAAATTGTCATTTGTCGAAAACAAAAAACAATTACCTCCCGACAGTTGCAACATGGTTAAGCTTTGTGCACTCGTGTTAAATCGATGCAGCCCAACTACGCCGAATTTCCGCCATCACATGAAAATGAGGAAATTCCTCATAGCCCTCGCCGAGTGCCGATCGATCCTGACGAGTGCGGGTTCTTTACGCTCTTGTAAAATATGCGGGGGAAAATGCAGGTGGCGTTGATCGACCCGGACAAGGGGAACATCGTGGACATCAAGTCCAAGAAGTTCTTTCGAAGTCTGCCTCGATGGGGAGGCCGTTGCACTTCCGATGGCCGGTACGGCCTCGTCGCCCCGGCTCGGGGCGGCCTCGAGATCATCGAACTGAAACACGGGAAGAGTCTGAAGACGCTGATCCCCAAGACGGCGGAAGGCGTCTTCTCCAACATCACCATGTTCACCAAGACCGACGAACACGTCCTCTATTATCACAGTGGGAAGAACACCCTGAGGCTGTTCAGGTACGGGTTCGATGCCCATCGAATCTTTCTTCTACGGTGCGGGACGATTGTTACCGCAGTCTTTCGCCGTCGATCGGAATGCCGAGCTTTAAGCTTTTCTCACCGTCGTTTAAGTTTCTATTTCTTGGAATACGACAAGATTCACTCACATTCCCCAAATAAAAACTAAAATCTCAACAGGCCTTAGGGGAGGCCTGAGATAGTGTACATTCTACAGTAAAGCGAGAAAGACTGTGATCAAAGTTCTCTCACTTTTCTGACGTCAGACGATCTGCAGGATGTCCTTTAAATGATCTTTCCGTTCTGTCGAACAGGACGAGCGACGGGAAGATGATAGCGAATTACCGGATTCAGGCCGAATTGAGTTCGATCGAGACGACGTCGGACGGGACGGCAATCGTGATCGGGACGGTCGACGGCTGCCTCACCGTCCTCCACATCGCGGATGCCCTCAAGCCGGATTCCTTGCATAAGCTCGGCTATTTTCCGTCGAGGAACCCGAAGGAAGAGCCTATGGATACCTCTGAGATCAAGGACGGTGAACTTATCAAGGGCGGTGAACCTCTCAAGGAGGAATGAATCGGTTCTTGAGTACTTGTTGGGTCCAATTTTTTTTTCTCTGGGAAGAATGGTTTGAATAAAGTCGTTGGCTTTGAAAAAAAAAGTCTATTCCATTAGCAAAAGAAGTGCGTTTCGAACGAGCGGTAAAGGATGAATGAAATTCCGAACCAAAAAATGCCAGGCGCGTGGGTCCGATGCCAGAAGATAAGGAAGAGACGGGCAAAGGACGACTCGATAAGATTATGCTCGGGTCCCCTAGGTGAAGATAATTCCCGGTTTCCATTTCCCCTCGTGTTATGTTCGTGTTGACAGAAGAGACAGCGGTAAGTGCCCCTGTCTTTCGTGTTTCATCCGATAAAGTGAACGGGAGACATGGACGAGAAAACGCCTCTTCTCGACGGCACAAAAACTCCGTATGGCACCGACAAGTACGTTCATGGCCCCGATATATTTAAGGAACATCGATTTTGTAGGTCGTAGAATTTCGGCTTTTTCGAAACAGACGCAACGATCGTGTCATTTGCGTCTCACTTTTTCAGGAAGGCGAAGAAAGATAAGGAGGAAGTGCACAAAGTCCCCCTCACAAAACTCGTCAGATATTTTCCCCATTCGACATGCGATTTCGTTTACGATGCCGTTTTCTCATTTCGCGACTCATGTTTTAGTATCGCTACACGGACAAGGTGGATCTGTGCTTGTTGTTCGTGGGGACGGTGTTTTCCATCATTCACGGCGCGGGTTTCCCAGCCCTTGGCATCATCTTCGGACAGATGACCAACACTTTCATCCAAGCATCCATCGTCTGTTCTTTTCGAAATTCCCCGCCGTTCCCGCTGCTCGAGCATGCAAGGCGCATATGTGAGCTACGAAAGCCATGATTATCTTCCCCAGGGAGATGCCGGCCTCCAAGTCACTAACGTGAGCACGAGCGTGGATTTCCTCACGACGCCGAGACCGACTGCGACCGATGACGGCGCTTTTAACCAGACGGGAAACTTCTCGCAGTCTCCAATCGCATCCATCCTTCGCACGGCTGCGACGTAACGGCTTCGATTTCATTTCTCTCAATTGTTTTTAAACGGACTGAGCCGGATCGGCGATTCCTTTGGATAGTACGGTGATGCCGGACGGGACGATGCCCGATGGGATCCCCATGTCGGCGTTTTCCTCTCTCATGGCCGACTTTTCCCTCTATTACGTCTACATCGGGATCGCCGTCTTCGTCTCTTCCTTCTTTCAGGTATTCCAGCCGGTCTCCGTCCGTCACGAACATCGGGACCAACTTATCATTTCTCTCCTTTCTGGGTCGTCGATAGGTGGCGATGTGGGTCGCTTCGTGCGAGAGACAAATTCATCGGATCCGACAGGAGTTCTTCTACCAGGCCATGAGACAAGAAATGTCCTGGTTCGATCGCAAGCAAAGCGGGGAACTCACCATGAAACTCAGCGAGTGAGGGCAATCGTCTCGAACGATAATCTGCATGCAACGCTTCACTCTCATCTCACTCGACGTGTCGTTGCAGCGATTTGGAGAGAGTTCGAGAAGGGATCGGCGACAAGATGAGTCGATGCATCGAGAGCGTCTCAGCCTTTGCATCGGGTTTGGTCGTGGGGTTCATCGTCTCCTGGAGGCTCAGTCTCGTCATCCTCTCCCTCACTCCCCTTCTTGCCCTCACTTCAGGCTGGATCGGCAAGGTATCCCTCACGCGTGGGACGAGATTTAAAAACAAATTAAATATAAAATCATATTTTGCAAAATAGTAGACTCGTAAATGATAGAAGAAAGAGTAAAACGGAACGGTCGAGAATTACAACCGACAGGAGTGAATTGTGTCCTGGTCAGTTGGTAGCCACGAGTGCGGTGAGGGAGCAGCAGAAATATGGAATCGCCGGCAGCATCGCAGAGGAAGTCTTGTCCTGTATCCGGACTGTCATCTCCTTTGGAGGAGAGGAGAAGGAAATAACGAGGTCTCTCTCTCACGAGTCACAATTTTCATTTGTTGAAATAGGAGTGAAAGTAACGAGAGATAAATGGCTTCCAGGTACGAGATGGCCCTCGAAGAAGGGCGGAAGAATTCCATGAAAAAGTACATGTACATGTCCATCGGGTTCATGTTTGTCATGTTCATCATCTACGCCTCCTATGGCTTGGCATTCTGGTATGGAGCTAAACTCGTTGCTGACGGCATGGTTTCTCCCGGCGGAGTCTTCACGGTGAGCATTCTCCTACTTCGAGAGTTAAAACTTATTCTTAGAGTTGTTGCAGTCGAGGATGAATCTGTTCAGGTATTGCTGAGCGTGTTGGTGGGCGCGATGCAGCTGGGCGAGGCCCTGCCGAACATTGCTTCCATTTCTACCGCTCAGGGATCTGCTTCCGTCATCTTCGACATCATCGACACCATCCCGGAGATCGATTCCTACGGTCACGGAGGCTTGAAGCCAGAGAAAGTGAAGGGAAACATCGCGTTCAAGAACGCCACATTCGCATATCCCACACGACGCGACATCAATGTGAGATCGTGCGACTCGCACGCCCTATGCGAATGGGGCTTCTCGATCATGGGTGCACTCTGCATTCCCATCGACCAATCGTGAATTGGCTTCCAGAACCACGCAGCCAATCCGACGCCGTTTCTCCTCTAGGTTCTGAAGAATTTGAACCTGGAGATCAAGCCCGGACAGACAGTGGCCTTAGTGGGATCCAGCGGCTGTGGGAAATCCACCGTCGTCAACCTTCTACTCAGATATTACGACCCCAGCATGGGAGAGGTCTCCTCAGTCGTACTCGACATAAATCATCGTCATTTTGTTAAAAATTGTTTCTTACAGATTTCTTCTTTGTAGGTCCAATTAGATGGAGAGGATATCCGTTCCTTGAATGTTGCCTGGTTGAGAAACTCTATCGGTATCGTGTCTCAAGAGCCAGTGCTCTTCGACGCGTCCATCGCGGAGAACATTCGATACGGTCTCGAAAACGCAACTTTCGAGGAGATTGTCACTGCGGCAAAGCAGGCCAATGCCCACGACTTCATCATTAACCTTCCAAATGTGATTAACATCTCGACGCTGTTCTCGAGAAAAATTGTCATAGATGCACATAACCAAAGCAATACATTTATTCAATCTCTAGGGATACATGACCCTTGTGGGAGAACGTGGAGCGCAGCTGTCGGGTGGTCAAAAACAGAGAATAGCCATCGCAAGGGCGTTGGTGAAGAATCCATCCATCCTCCTCCTTGATGAGGCCACGTCTGCATTGGACGCCGAAAGCGAAGCCATCGTACAAGAAGCCCTGGACAAAGTAAGAACCGTTTTGCTTGAACCGGGCTCTCCCGGTTGGCAACTGACAGATGATCGCATCCACGATGTATAGGCATTGGAAGGTCGGACGACGATCGTGATTGCACATCGACTGTCGACCATCAAGAGAGCCGATCTCATCTACGCCTTCCGCGATGGCGAAGTCATGGAAACTGGAACTCATTCCCAATTGATGGCAGCGAGGGGATTGTATCATCAATTAGTCATGGCTCAGACGTTCATCGATCACGATGTCCTCACTTCGGATTCGGAAGCTGATCAGTGAGCTCCCATTCCTATTTCTTTTAAACGATTTCGACGAGAGCCATGATTACTCGGAAGGCCTGGTTATCGTTTGAAAACTGTAGTCTTGCTGCTCGAAAGAGGAAGTCGACGAGTCCCAAGAAAAAACCGGTCGAAGTCACTTCTCGACATACTCTACAAAGATTAGCTGCAGAGGTCGAAGAGGTCTGTCGCATCGTGGAACTATTGCGGATAGGGATTATTCCTAAAACGGGAAGGATTTTGCAAGATTCTCGCATGTCCTTTAGGAACACGTGAAACCCGTGGGTATCCTGAAAGTAATTGGCTACTGCTTCCCGGAATGGAAGATGTTATGCATTGGAATGCTGGGCTGTATGTTGTCGGGTGCGATTACACCCATCTACGCCTTCCTCTACGCCGAAATCTTCAATGCAAGTTTCCTCAAATTCCTCGTCTTCCTCGAATACCGCTTGACAAGTTCAGATAGTAAAATTTTTGTTTTGTCTGTATAGACGTTTACGTTGACAGGGCAGGCATTGAGGGACCAGGCCTTCTTCTGGTCTATGATGTTCCTTGCTCTCGCCGTGTTTGCCGCCATTGGAGCCTTCGTACGGGTCAGTCATAGCATATCAATCATGGATCGATTTACGTGTGCGGAAATAGAAATAAGAAGGGTGGATAAGGGCAAAAGGCTCAGCTGCTTCGACACACCCTAATTTCCCCTTCCCAGTCCATATAGTCAAAGCAATTATTCCTAAATTTCTTACGTTCTCCCTGGAGAGGAAATTTTTGCGGCAAGTGAGATTCTTTAGCCTGGAGATCAAAGAAACTTAAACCTCGTCATATCTCAGCTCCTGTCTCCCCGACCAAGCAAATATATTTACGTGTATCGTGTGGAGCTCGTTAAGTATTTGGCAATTGCGCAGGGCCTGCCTTCAAAGTTCCCTTGTGGACATTAAGGAGAAACAGAAGAAAAGAGGCTCTACGTGCTCCATGTTGAACTATTAGACTCTTGCCACTAGACGACTCCCATGAGTGGTACAGGGACCACATCCGAGTGTCCAGAGGTTTCACCTGGACAATGAAGGTCACCACACAAAACACAACGAAACAGTGGAAGAGGGACCAGGGGTTAGCAAGTTTCTCGTGTTAGGGTCATCTTGAATATTCGTATTGCACTGGGACAACAAATAGATATTTCAGTGAAAAGTTGAGAAGGACCAGTTTCAACTTGCTGTCTTCTTTCTCCCGGTCAAACCTTATCCGACTTATTAAGTAATTCAGTAATGGAATTATTGGAATAGGGCAGCCCAATTTTCTCCTCATTCATGCCCTCTTCCCTTACCATCAGCCGCATATTTCCGTCCGCTAATGAATTTCCCGCCTGATCTTGTGCCGGCCCGATTTTCTTGGTCGACAGACGATTCCGTTGGCTTACTGTGGGGACAAGCTGACGATGCGGATGCGTCTGCTGTGTTTTCGAAGCATCTTATACCAAGACGTGGGCTGGTTCGATGACGATCGTCACAGCACTGGAAAACTGAGCACCCGTCTCGCCACCGATGCTCCCATGGTCAAGGCTGTACGTCACGAACGATCTCTCCCTTCCTCCCCCTATCCTTCTCCTGCTGGGTGTCTTTCAGCTTTTTTATGGTTTCAGGCAGCCGGGCATCGGCTGGGAATCGAGCTGGCAGCAATCGTGACCATCTCCTTGGCCTTGCTCATTGCGTTCATTTTCGGCTGGAAACTGGCACTGGCCGTGTCTCTCGTCTCGCCGGTCCTCATTGTGGCCGGCTACTTCCAGGTCCAGGTCCAAAAAGGGGGTCAGAAGAAAGATGCCGAGCTGATGTCTGCTGCCGGACACGTAAGAAGCCATCTGTTCATCATTTAATGATCTTACTGATGATTTGACAAAAAAAGAGACTGAAAGTAGAACATTTATATTTTGCGAATCCCAATAGGTCGCAACAGAGGCTCTGTCGAACATCCGGACGGTGCAGGCTCTGACCCGGGAGCAAGTCTTCTTCGAGAAATACGTCGATAACTTGGTAACGCCGTTCAGAGAGGCCAAGAAACAGGCTTACGTGTATGGCCTCGTCTTTGCCTTCTCTCAGGGAACCCTATTTTTCATTTATGCTGGAGCATTCCGTCTTGGCGGTTACCTCATCTCCATCAACGACATGATCCCTACCAACGTCTACAGGTGAGCTCATCGAATCGGGTTAAGACATCTCGAGCCAACAGCGGTTGACGTATCGTTGTTGACTGCTGCAACAGTGAACCGGTTGCATCGAACACGTCATGACGTGTTTCACGGTAGCGATAAATGTTCTCATCTCCCCATAATCTATGGAAATATTTTGCTTTCTGGAACGCTCTCTCCAAGCTCTGCGCAGTGTTGCAGGATTTGGATTGAAGGGAGAGGTATGTATGGTAAAGAAAGGCCTTGGGAGGATGGAAGTTTCTGAAGGAATTTGGAGAGTACCTATTTGTAGTACGAAGCACTCAAAAAAATATTTTTTTTTGCATTTTCAATCCGAAATCTCCTTTCTCTGTGTCACTTTATGAAGAGTTGGGCTGGTCTGTGCGGGGAAGGTGATTTTTCGTTCCGGTCTGCGGAGAAATTGGCCAGAAAAAAAGTAATGGGACAAGAGGGGTTGGAAGAAAAACCACCTTGTTTCGGGCAAAGAAAGGAGGAAAAGGAAGTTTCACTTGCGGGAATGGGCCAGAGAAAAGAGCTTCTGCGGTGAATTGCGTAGAAGGGTTCGTTCAGGGAAATGTCAATGATCTCATGAAAAACATACTTCGTGAATTGAATTGAACTTGACAGAGACGTGCTTAATATTCTTCCTTCTGACTTAGCTGCTCGACGAAAATAACCTTGGCATGCAAGGGAGGAATTCAATCAGTCGGTTACAGTAGATGATGCTCCAAAAGTTGGAAACGTGAGAAAGAAGAAAGAGCGGACTGTCGATGAAGGAGAAGCTTTAAGTTCTGGACTCCCAACAAACTCAGGAGCGCGGAGCAGCACTAAGCCCAGTACTAAAACTAAATACCGGGAAATTACGACCGGTAGTGTAGGTGCGTGAAAGTGAGCGCTGAGAAATAGGTTTTGGTCTCTTCCTTTTTATGCGATGACTCCAACCTACACTTCGTATTTAATGCTCTATAGCAATCTGAATTGAATTTACTTTATAATCACCCTGTAAATCAGTATTAAAAAAAAAATAGAAAATCAAGATCCTTTCGCGTACTCCTACCTAATCAACAGCTCATACATGCACGAGCCAATGTGTAGACGAAGTGTTCTGAAGTCGGAAAATCCCGTAGCTCATTCTTCAGTTTCTTAGTAGGCTTATCATAAGCCAATCCAAGGCAAAAATAGGTAGGGTAAGTTCGTGTCGAACGATATTTGCGAGATTTTTCGCCTATGCCAGAACCTATATCCATGTTTATATCATTTATTTGGCGTCAGGGTGTTCTTCGCGATCGCAATATGTGCCGTGTCGGTGGGACAGATGAATTCCTACATCTCAGAATACACGAAGGCCAAACATTCCTCTGCTCTTCTCCTTCACCTCATCAATCTCCGCCCCATCATCGATGCTCAGTCCAAGGCTGGCATCTGCAAGGTCGCTTTCCCGATTCTGGATCGTATGATGTAACCTGAGATTAGAGTCGTCAAAATGTGACATAATTCGGATGAATGTTGGCTGTAGCCGATCGAAGGAAGCCTGGCGTTCCAAAACGTGTCATTTTCGTATCCGGCCCGACGAGGAGTGGAAGTTCTTCAAGGAATGAATTTCTCCCTTCAACCTGGACAGACGCTGGCTCTCGTCGGTGCCAGTGGGTGTGGAAAATCAACCGTCGTATCTCTCGTCCAGAGGTTCTATGACCCTAGCCAGGGACAAGTGGTGAGTTTCAGCGATTCGGACCATCGCACTTTTTTATTAAAAAAAAAAATTTTATGCAATGGTTTGAATACCACACGACTCAATTTCATTTCAATAGATGTAACGTGCAAGAGACTCTGTATGGAAAGAGAAGGGTAAGGAGTGAAAATTAACCCTTAAGCTGTTCTTATCTCCAGACGGTCGATGGGATCGACTTGCGGGCTTACAACGTGGCACACGTGCGGCGCAGCATCAGCGTCGTCTCCCAAGAACCGGTGTTATTTGATGCCAGCATACGAGATAACATCGCCTACGGCCTGGACTCACCCTGCACCGAAGATGACATTATCAAGGCTGCCCAGATGGCGAACATACATCCCTTCATCATGTCCCTTCCTCAGGTGGGACACCCTTAAGTTTCCCCCAATCAATTCTTCGGTTCCTTCTCTTCTCGTCGTCACGTGATTTCCTTTGACACAGCGCTACGACACGACGGTGGGGGAAAAGGGAACGCAACTGTCGGGAGGTCAGAAGCAAAGGATTGCCATCGCCAGGGCTTTGATCCGAGACCCCAAGATACTCCTCCTGGACGAAGCCACTTCGGCCCTAGATACTGAGAGCGAAAAGGTCTGGCCTTCTTCCCCATATTCCTTCTTTGCTGCTTCTATCGAATGCAGTTCTACGCACAAGATCGTGGACTCAGTGATAAAGTATCTTTTCTTTTTTTAACTAACCTGAAATATCTGATATTAAGGTTCGGTTTTTCAATGCTACATGTGAAATTAGGTTAATTGATTCGCACCGTTGGAAGACTGGAAAAGATATCGGCAGATCTCATTTTTGACATAATTTTACATGCAACAAGCGATTCAAAACCAAAAATGTTTTAACTGAAGTACTTTTTACGAGTGTATTGGATTCGAGGACTACCATAATTTCCTTTTCGAAATCAAGAATGAATGACATTAGATTAAAAAGGGCTGAATTGACTTTTACTTCGGAGAAAAACAGCCTCAACGTGAATTTGGGCTCGGGCATGAGAAGGGGAACCAGATGAGGCATGAGACGTTACGGTCCCACCCCCTTGGGGATTCTCTTTAGGTGGTGCAAGAAGCCTTGGAACAAGCCCGGGCAGGAAGGACGTGCATCATCGTGGCTCACCGATTGTCCACTATACAAAATGCCGATGTCATCGCCGTCGTGGACAAGGGAAAAATCATTGAAGCTGGTTCTCATGAAGAATTGAGGGCTCGGAAAGGCGCCTACTACAGACTCACTAAGAGACAGCAGATCTCCGCTCATTGAAGCTCTCTCCACGCCCACATATATTTTATATAATTATTTTATCCTCTGGTTATAATTTTATTTTGAACATTATCGGGAAACATTGTGCATTGTGAGTATTTTGAATAGTGAAGTACAAGGGGCAATCCACAAGTTTGCGGTGTCAGGGGTTCGGAGATGGCAGGCAGGGATGTTCTTTTCTGTCAGATGTCAGAACCTCCTGGATTTAAAATATCAACGTTCGATCATTTCTTATAATTTTTCGCAATTTTTTATTGACAATTTTGGCGACATTTCGAATGTCTGCTGAAAAAGGGCAGTTATGCAATTGACGAGTATTTTGCTAGTGTCCAGAGCCTCACAGAAAGACGGAGTAAGCAGTGGCGTAACTAGGGGGGGGGGGGGGGGGGGGGGGGGGGGGGGGTGGGGGGGGGGCTAGAGTATGGGGGCGGTAGTAACAGTCACTCGCCCCGGGCGGCAAATTACCTAGTTACGCCACTGGGTGGAAGTGTATCGAAATGGCTAAGGATTAAGTTGAGAAATGAGACTGCCTAAGTGCTTTTTTTTTAAGTACTGTCTATGTAAGGGTACTTTTGGACTGAGCCGTGAACTTTTGATCACCCCCTTATGGAGTTTTATTGTCTTCAATATTCTGTCCCTCCTTCAACTGGGGATAGAGAGCAGCTAAAACCTGGACATGTCCCTTGGATGCCAAAGCTCATGCAAGTGAGTGATTGAGATCAAGCAACAATCGATCAATGTCTTATTTCGTTTGGAGGGTTTGGGTGGCCACTCGTCGAATTCCGCTCCAGGGTTCCCCACCCAGTTCCCTCGATTTTACTCTTCCGCTTCGAGGAAATTACGCAGAACATCCAACTAGATCAGCCAAAAACCCTGTTCCATATCAATATTCTATAATTGATTCTAGAGTTCATTCCCAGCTGAGAAAAGCTAGACTCTGGAATTAAGAAGAGAAACAAGTTTATGAATGTTACAGAAACTTTAGATGGAGGGAAGACGTACGTAACCGTTTCTTGCTTTCCCAAAATCCGTAGTCACCTCAACCTTGGTATACCGCATTCTATTTCTTCCATTATCGTATGATGGCCTTTAAAACATATACTAGTGCAAAAATGGTACAATTGGTACATGTCTTCTTTAATGTCTTTTCTATAACGAAGTCAGGTAAGAACGGAACAGGTCTCCTATGACTAGAGATTGTCGGGATTGTTTTAGGATCCGTACTAATATCAATCATCCCTATCATCATTTCTATACGGTCACTTATTGTTGGTACTTGTGCTAGTCAGGCTCCTGATAATTTTTCGAAAAAATTACGCAAAATGAAGCAGTCTTCCTTTGAAAAAGAAAAAGAACAATCCTTCTACAAGATGGGAGGGCCTCCACACTCACTCAACCATGGGTACCTACTCAATACAGGGAGTATGACAAGCGAAGTCGCGCATATTCATGAATGCCTGGCCGGCACAAGTTACCATGGAGACTGACATACACAGCTTATGTTTACTGTCTGATACCCCAGAAACCCTGCCCTCAAGGACACACTATTGACCTCATGAACAAGTTGCTTCATTCCTTAAAAGAATACCCTTGAAAACAGGAGTTTGATGAAAGGTGAACATAATTAATTCATGCAAAGATGAATTGATGGAGGTGGAAAAATCCAAGAAACATATTAGGAAAAAAGTGAAAATAAGCAATGCAGATATCACACAAGTCACCACAGACAAATCAATTTGTGATGCATGATGCCCTACAGCTGCTGCTCTTCCAGGAACTTCTTGATTCTTTGGAGTAGTTCCCTCTTGACTGAGTCTGGGACAAGAGCCCTGGCTTTGGGTGTCAGTTCGGTGACAAGATCATCCACTGTGATGCGTTCAACACCTTTTTCTTTCACAATTTCCTTTGCATGCATCTTTAGCTCATCTTTCCATCCAGCTTCAACCAACCGCTGTCGGAGAAGTTCTCGCAGTCGTTCCTTCTCACCAGTCTCAATCAACTTCTGATTCATGGTTGCTCTCATCTGAGCCTCCTTTGTCTTGTCCATGACTCACACTTAAAATTCTACTTGTGTCCTGAACAAAAATGACTCCTATGTCAGCATAATTGGTCTTCCTTATAATATACTATTTGAATCTAATCATAAAACTTTAAGCATATTAAAATGCTTAGATTAAACATCCTTCTCAGGCCTAGGCCTACAGAACATAAAAGGAAGACTTGACATCATATGGAAACTAGGGGACTAGCTGTGATGAAGGGGAACATACTAGGCAATAGGATAGGGAGCTCTGATCTACAGTATTTTTCACTTGAGTTGGACAAATTTGCATTGGCTCAGACACATGGGTACAGGATGTTCCTCATGCATGAGGGTCGAAGTCAAGTGAAAAAGTGTTTAACTGAAGTGAAAAACACAGCACATAGACTTTTGACTTTAGGCCTCAACCAAAACATGGTATTGCACTACAGTAATTACTTCAACCAAACAGCCTTTACAGAAACTGTCAGTTATGATCAAATCAAATCTAGCTTATCACAGAGAGGATGCAAATTCCAATTACTGCTCTGGACAAAATCTTCCTGCTAGGTCTTCTGAGTGAAATACTGACTTTGAAGACAGTCTGACCTAGACCTGTACAAAATCTTTAAGCCAGAAATTCATGGTATAACCAAGTAAGCTGAGGTCCATGTTTGGCTGGGCCTGGGCTACAATCTGCATGCATGTTAGAGCAGGCAGAAACTTCTCTGAGGTACAGCTTCACATTCCTCTCTGTGCTTGGAATTGCATTGGCCTAGTAGTCGGGCCGAGGGCCTGAAATCCTTCAGATTTTTAGCTCTCCAAAGAAATTTATATGTAATGGTGTTATACGGCGGGCGGAGACCATGATATATACAGTAACTCTCAAATACACTTGTCGATGTTGTGTCCTTTACAGATACCCATTGCCAGAACCTCCGTTGAGAAAAACACAAAACGAAGACAAGAGAAAGGACATTATGATCGCAAGGTAGACATCATCTAATAGGTTTTCATCTTGAGTTCACTACTTTTCCAGAAGACTCCGACACCTGGCTATGACACTTCCCAAGCATCGATGTTGAGCAGGGGAAAACGGCACACGACTGAAATTAAAAAACTGATATGGAACGCGCCATGATTGTGAATGGTGCTCCTCGTTCTCGTTAGATGGCGCTGAGATGTATTGTCATCCAAGGGAACATAACCTCTTCCTTAAGCTAACCATGGAAAGATCAGCCTTCTGCGTCTTAGCCGAACTCGTTCCACGCATTCACTACTCAAAAGTAAATTGGATTTCCATGAATTGTGTCGCGCTTGAAGTTCATACTGCTTGAACTGGTTCTCACTCTCTCTGTCATTACCATCGGTTTGAAAAAACAAATCAAATTTCAAAAATCAGTTGGAAAATTCCATCTATGCACAGTGCAAGTTTTGTGAAAATAGCTCAAGAGGTTGCGGAGGAAATAAAGTTAGGAGTCAAAGGTAATTTTTACCATACCCAATGTATATAGCGCTGATGCATTTAATGCACACAAACGTCTTCATTAAAAAATCTGTAAACCTACCAAGCAATCTGAGATCCGACTATTTTCTCACTTGGTTTTCACCTTTTACGTATCTCAGGCCAATAGACCGTCTTTTCACTTGGAGCAGCCGTAAGTGTTGCGGATTCTGTGAGTCTTCACAGAATTACTGAATGCAACCGTTCACTGCCCCTTTTCCAAAGCTGCAGCACTCTTGAAGCAGGTAATGTATATGCAGTTTTGGGATTGATTCCCCTCCGTCCCAAATTTACACGACTTACACACTTTTCTGGGCTTTAGGTCAGTAAATCACCAACTACAACGGCACTAAAACTATAGTTCCATCACGAAGTCTTTGAATCAATAATCGCTTATACCGTTGCTTTGGCAAAACAGTCGAAGGAAAATTTGAAAATCTGTTGAGAAACGCATATGTTAATGCTCAATTCAAGTTTCATGAACTTGGCTCCGGTAAGAGCAAAAATGCTAATGTTGGGGGATCTCTATGAAGAGGTTCGGGTTGGGCACGTTCTGGAACGAGCATTTTCCAGATGATCATATGACAAGTAATCGAATGACTCGTGATTGAAGAGCAATTGGTGGAATGTTTCATTGTCAGTCACATTTTCTTGCACCCCACTTTTCTACAGGTATGGATTCTGCTATCGAGTTGTGAAGTGACAGTTCCCTTGGTAAAGAAGGGATGTCGGTCGCTCCATTCACCTCACTCATCGCTTTCGCCTTCATCATAACTGCGATTACTAGGTGTCTCTCGAGCACCGTTGACGACAGCGCCAGGCGACAGGGTAGGTGGGTAAAAGTCAATCCGAAACATTGTTGCACAGAATGCACATTGTGCATTGAATGTGCGTCTCATCAGCAAACCAAATCACTGTATCCTCGTCATCGGCAAGCAATCCAATTGCCCGTTCCGAAAACTCAACCCACCTTTCCCTATCTCTGTCGTTCAGTGCCTGCACGATGCGTATTCCGTTCGGATACAGATGTGACATTTTGCTTGTGATCCTCTAGGTACGTGAAATGTCCTGATCTTGCGACTAGGAACGAATAGACTTCCTGAGGCTCTATTAAAATACTTCCTGGACACGAGCCATATATTATCTGTAGTAGTGATGGTTTTTTGTTGTCCCGTACGTGACCTGTCTGCAACAGTATCATTTATAAAGAACTTGACAAATTTACGGATTGTGACATCAATGGGGACCCGGCGCACGTTAAAATGCTTTCTGAACTGTCGTTTCACTTGAACAATGCTCTCAGTACAAAGGTAATTCTACACAATATGTTCTCGTCAATGAGCCTTGTTTTATGTAGATGATGCCAATATACTTCGATTCATTGTGCGATGCACAGGTGGCGCTGTTATTGCACTAATCTTCATAGGGCAGCACAATGAGAAGATTTAACATATAATATCTCGTTCTAATTTTATCTTCGGATAAACTATCACAACATATTATGGGACACCCTATACCTACAGCATGAACTGACTCTGTGCCTCAGTTGGAACTTACGAGGAGAGCACCAAGAGAAATTCTCTTCTTTGGCGCATCAAAAGCTGAGAAAAATCCCAAATTTCACTTCATTGCATGCGATCTCTGAAAGACTATGACGTAAATGTGCTGCCAGAACATTGCAACTGACGATCTTTGAAACTGAGAGATGTTTAAAAGAAGATAGGCATGATGTCAATTGAGGATCGAAGTGATCTCTCAATCAGAAATGTAGCTCCATAAATTGACAAATTTCATTTTTCGCAACTTATTTGATTAATCAATTTCAACGGGATCTCTTCCTCCTCATCAAATATAAAATTTATGAGGATTGGTGAAGGAAAACCTCTTGATAGGCATATTTTGACACTTCCATGAAAAAAAAAACTCCATGGATATTGAGATAATCCATAATCCATATAGCTTGTGGGAATACATTTTGAGTGAATGTCTGAGGGTTACATCTCCCACTACCCTTCCCACCGCTACTCTCTGCCTTTGTGCTGCAGATGCTTGGAGCATTGGCTTACATGTTTCAGAGGCTACACTAATAGTGAGCTAAGAATCCATAAGAATAAGCGAAACATGAAGCCTAACATAGCTTGAGTGTTAATATGACCCTCATGACCTTAATAGGCAAACGATTTTCTGGGCCTTCTAGTGTTAATAAAAAAAAACAAATTTCTTCAGCTCTCCAGGACACGTACGAGGTTTAGGCACACGGTGATGATGAATAGCTGGTTGGACAAGTATCGGTAGTAGCATGCAATGCAATTACTTGCAGACAGGACCGGTCTTAGACATTTGCCACATATGCCCCCGCCCCCGGGGCGCCAAATTGTGCCAGAATGAATGAAACCAATATTAGGTGCCACCCTCAGTTTTACATCAGAAACTAGAAATGCCTTCCGTTTCGGCGTCTTTTTAGACGCTAGGGATTTACCCTTCTTCCTTCGGGGGGGGGGGGGGGCTTTGGGCGTCTCTTTGCACAGGGTGTCGATATGGCTAGGGTCGGTTCTGCTTGCAGAATGGCATTGCCTTCTAAGTCTATTTGCTTCATGATGAGCAAATTTATTTTTCTCCATCTCGGATGAAGAATGAAGAACCTGCGTCTTGAATTGGGCGTCGGATTTAGCACAAGCAGAAATGTCATTTGCTGTCCCAGCCCAAAACCTCTAACCTTGAACTTTGAGTCGCGACCCTGGCCATCTAGCGTGGATAGATCCAATCATAGGCTTATTTGCACATGGCGCATTCCATTCGATACTCTGGCGAGGTGTGTCGTAATTGCACCATTCTCCTCCCTCCGTTGAGTGAATCCTCATCAGAGATGCCCTAAAATTTTTGTTTTAAGACGTAGTAATTTTTTTTGACAACAGTTATCATTGAAAAATTTTTTTCGGAAGTACTTTAGTCAAGTCATTAGCCTGGTTTGGAAGTAGGTTAACATATGGCTAAGGTTTAAAGATTAGATGCCGCTAGTTCGCCATGAAATAGGCCTATATCTAAGGCCTGCGAAGGAGATAATGATGCACTTAAAGCATGCACAACATGCTTATGACAAGGTGTTAATTTTTTTTCTTGAAGTTGAGGTTTTCTTGAAGCCTTGGCGTCGGCCAAGCCTTAATTCGTTCCTCTTTGTAGTTACGGTTAAGCGCGTACCCGCTAAGGATATGCTGGCGTTAAAGTTAGGCCAGGTTAGGTTAGTTGGATGCTTATCATTAACAAAAGGAATCCCAATGGATATGGCATGTTTTAATTGAATTTATCTGGAAACATTGGAGACTGGGGGAATATAAATTCTCTAAAGTGAGGGGGTACGCATTTAGCCGTTATCCACTGGTAGGTTGATATTAGGGAATCAAGGGAGGTCATCCAGCAGTAGCACAGAAAATTACTGGAGGTGATGAAGGGGTCAGTTAGGCAATTTGTGAAAATGGCCATAGACACAAAGCAACTGAGGTAAGAATTTGGCTGGAGACCTAAGATTCCTGAGGAGACTTACGTTTCTCTTTCATTGGGACTGTACTCAGAAGCAGTTTGAACTTCTTAAAGGAAGCATGGGTAGTAGCAGGTGGAAAATCTAGGCTCATCATGTAGAATTCAGTACACTTTCCCTGCACACCTTATATTAAAGAAGCATAGATAAATTAAATTGACACTATCATTTTAGAAAATGCTCTAATCCAGGGGTGTGCAACCTTTATCGGCAGTGGGCCGCATGGAAATGCGTGACTCTTGACGCAGGCTACAGAATTCAAAAGAAAAGGCTCCCCTCTTTTGTCCTCAGGCATATGAGGGCATAAGGTCGTGCTGATTGGCTGATGATCCTTACCTCTTCCCCACCCCTATGAAATTCCAATGTCCAAAAATAGCTCTTGGCATTGAGAACCTTCTGCCTCAGGACACATGTAGCTGCCCACATGAGAAGAAGTCAGAAGATAGGACTCAGTTGATTTTTTGTTACTAAGGGATGACTAAAGTTGTGATGGGCCTTCGACTGCAAACTCATCTGTTATCCCATTATGCATTACTGGGCAGTAAGAAGCAGGTCCATGGGCCACATGCAGGTTGCGGGTTGCACATCCCTGCTCTGATCATTGACCCAGCTGGAGAGTTAGACCCATGAAGGGTAGCTGCATATAGTGGACTCACAGTTGGTACCTTCGTAACCCTATTGGCTTGGGCCTATGGAACTCTTCCATACTTGGTGCACTGCAAGTAGTTTTAGACATGTAGTACTATGTCATACTTGATCTTTAGTGTTTAATATCTAATATAGTACATAAGTGTCTCACTAGATGTAAGCACCAGTGCAATCCATAGCTCTGAAAACATTATGAACACTGTCAGAATGTACACTTTTGTATACACAAATATAGGAATTTGTATAAGCCAATGGGTTAAAATTTGAGTTTTACATTTTAAGAAGCTGCACTCTTGTGGTATTAAAAGTAAAAAGTAAGCCTACAACATCCTAGGTCATGATGAACATGTAATAATTTAAATATTTTGTAACTCAAAGATTTTATAACTCAAATGTACCTCATCCTCTTTGGACTACTCACTATATTACATGCAGGGAAAGTTTCCTGAAAAAAGTCATTCAAAATATGTCATGCCAAAAAAAGGAGAGGGTGGGAGGCATAGTGGCAATGGTGATGTAAACCTCAATTGCCTCCTCAAAATGCATACTCACAAGCTGTTGCTGACCTAGAGAGAGACTTTTGAGGGAGCTTGGCTTAAGCAGATGATTATGGAGCAATTGTTCTGCTATTAATGACATACCATCTTTAGAAAATTTGACAGGTGGAACATTATGACCACAATAAATAGGGATCTTTATCTGTTATGAAATATTCTATGACTATATTCAATAACCCTAATGTTCAGAAGGATCTACAGGGTGACCCATTTGTGAAGTTGGTGGATGAATGGCAGTCCCCTGCAGGAATTAATTGATGGAATGAATGGAAACTTGAAGGATAGCTCCTGGGTATGTGTGCTAATTGCACTCAATGATGGAAGCAGCAAAGCATGAGGGCGCCAGCATCATCTCATATGAGCAATCAATGGTTTATTATGGTGGCAGTTCAATAGAAGTGACCACCATAGTAAGGCTAACTAGAATGAAGCTCATTAATCAATATTATTTGAATGGCAGGAAGGCTGGGGTCACATGGTATGCATATTGCTAAGCTGTCATGGTCTGGCAAGGACTCAAATCTAGGCTAGGTTTGTAATGCCTGTTGCAGAAATTCAGATGCACCTGCTCCATGACCAATGTCTTGATGGTGTATAGTAGGTGCAAAAATGGGGATAGAGTTGCTTCATGATGTGCAGTACACATAAACTGAACCCCACCTTGGTGCACACAGTACCTGGGTGGTTGTGTGCAGCACTGATCAATTGTTGGTGAGAAGGTCTCATTCTTTATTGATTTCTTAATCATGTGTGAGTAACTGATGTCCCCATTACTTCATGCCCAAGTTTCTCTGATCATTCCATTCTGTAGTTTTTGCAAGAAACCATTCACCAGTCAACTTAAAAAATATATCATATGGTGCAGGGAATATAAAAAACCAGTATTGCAGAATAAGGTTGAGTGAGGCATTGGATTTCATTTTGGGAGTATTATGCTTTTTGTATTTCCTCTTAGAAAATTATAAAGGTGGAAAGGAATTTGCATATTCTTTCTCCATATTGACAAGTCAGGTGTTGAATGCAAGCTTGGAATTCAGCTTGGCTTAATCTTTATAACATTAGGAAGTGGATCTTGCCTGTTACCAAAACTTAATTCCCTTAAGAAAGAGCAAACAGAAAAAATCTATGACTACCTATGATGCTTGATGCTGGAATACAGATGATGCAAAGTGAGTTAAGCCTGTGCTTCTTTCTAATTTCAGTTATTTGGAAGCCTATGTCTCTTCTCTGTGACACTAACATGCATGTAATAAGCAAGTCTTTATACCATATAGTCTCTCAGTCCTTATTATTTGGCAAGCAAATAAAAGTTTTGGTGGATATTCTTGCCAGTGGAGGGAATTAGACTTAGTAACAGTGAGACTTGTAGACCAACAGGAGCCTTAAGCTCTTTAGGAATTCCTTGTTGTGTTTTTTTATTTTTGAAAATGATTCCTTACTTTATACCATGTTATATGGGTCAATATTCTTGTTGCTTTTTGTATTTGGATGCTAAAAAAATGAAAGCACTGTTTTATTCTGATCTCATGGTCATGATTTTGCTGAGGATTTCATTTAGGATTTCCTTTGAGGTGTTCAGATTTCCTTGATTTTATTCCCCTTTTTTTTACTTCCTTTTCATTTTATTCTATCATCTATATGTATTATCATTGCTGGATATGCCAAATTTGGAAACTTGCTAGAAAAACTTTAGAAATGCATGATATACCTAGAGTTAACCCCTTCAGTCTTGAATTATGTTCTAAGCATTGAAAAAATATATAATGTACTCTTTGGGCTTCAACAAGGCTCAGATAAAATAAAAGTTGCTTTAAAATGGTTTCCTTCAGTAAAGTAAATATTTATTTATTTATTTCTAAAAATTTTAAATTAACTATTAAAATTATGACACTTAATTAGCTCAGTTAGTACTCATATCCCTATTTTACATTGTATGTTTCCCAGCATTCCTGTACTACTTTCCATTATCTAGCTTGCAAAAGCATAGAAAGAATTGGCTGGGAAAGAAATGTATTAGCTGAAATAAATACAAAAGATGGCACCATTTTTTTTAAGTGCCAGAGGAAATACAGCAGCTTCATATTACTGTGGATCTACTTGACAACATGAGGTTAACTACTATAAACTGGGACTCAGAATCCTGCCATGGCCTCAAGGTCATGCATTCCTGTATAACCCTATAACATGTGTGAAGAAAATGCAGGACTCCCAAGTCCTGCCCGAACTGAAAGGGTTAATCAAGGTTAACAATGAGTGTGCATGTATGGAACATAAATTTGAAAGAATATTATACTAGCTAAATAGAAGGCATCATGAGCCTAGTTGGCCAAAGCTTGGATATCAATGCATTGGGATTCCATGTACCTCATCTGGACATTGTATTATTGTAATATGACAAAAAAAATTCCAGTCAGGTCAAGTTACCACCATATTTGCCTGAAAGAGTGTTGCCAATGCAAGAATGTGGTATACCATAGAGGGAAATTTCTTTCATGTATGCATATACATATAATATATGTTCTTTTCTTTTATTAATTCATTAATATGTGTTGGAGTGAGATGTAGAAGTTTAATGGTCTGTCATGAGATCATAGACCTACATCAGGGTGTCAAACTGGCAGCCTGCATGCCAGATCTGGCCCACCGGTCCATTTTGTCCGGCATGCAAAGCCCTCTTTAACAATTTTTTATGGAAAACTACTCCAAATTTCAGCCTGTTTGCATTAAAGATTTGGTGTTACATTTTTGCTGTGGCCCCTCATCACCCCTGAAGGCTTCCATCCTGCCCCCAGTCTAATTGAGTTTTACATCCCTGGCCTACATGAACTGTGTAAATCCAGCATAATTACATAGGAGTTAAGAGGAGTGGGTTATGTTCATATCCTAATGAAGGCATTTGGACAGTTGGAAGCTAACACTTGTTATGGACTGGGCTTGACCTAATTTATTTTGAATTGTTCTACCTTTTTATTTCATAGTTCTGCAGAAGTACTCTCAGGAAGGTCTACTTGTAGGCCTACAGCATAACTGAATGTGGCTGACCAGTGAAGACCAGGTGGAAAGTGACATCATTAGAACTCCATGCCTTGTGTCTAGGTCTGATTTGGCCTAGGTTTTCATATGAACAAAACCTTCTTCCGCCACAAAAATAATTTAGGTCTTTCAATCACCATGCATCACATCCGTATCATTCGTAATGGAGGCCGTACAAGAATGAGTATTCTCCTCACTGTGGCGCTGTTTTCATTGGGCTTTATATATTTTGTATACAATACGAATGTTGAATTGTGGCAGAAAACTGAAGATGCTCTCAAGTGCCATCAAAACACTGAAGCTCTTGTTGCACAACTCCAAGGTTGTAATCCAGCTAAAGGTTTGATGAGGTCTTAAGCTTAACCAATTGATTTGGCTGACAATATTATTCCTTTTGTTCACAGTGGCCAATGAACATAGGAAACGTGTAGAGGAGACTTTGAATGATGAGCGTAAGAAAACTCAGCAGGAGAAAACAAATTATGAGAATCATCTGAATGAGGAAAGGATCAAACTCAATAAAGAGAAGGAATCAGCAGCAGATCGGCTTGCAGCCTTTCAATTGGAGCACAAGAAACTAATGGTAAGATGTGTTAAATGAGTTGAAAGCTTTTTGCATTAAGGACTGATGTTCCCCAAAAGAACAAGTGCTAATTCAGCTTCTTGATTTCTAGGAAAAGTATAGTGCATTGAATTCAGAGATGGAGGAGCTAAGTCGGAACAATTTGGAGCTCATGCAGGAAAAGAACCAGCTGCAGGAAGCAAAGGAGGAAGTTCAAAATCAGTTGGATCTTAAAACCCAGGAAGTTAAACTTCTCAAGGTGTGCATATCATATATCATTTTGAAGGGGCTCTATCACTTCTTTTCTGAAGTATCTGTTCTTCATCTGATATGTATGCTTTTCTTTTTTTCTTATCTATTTGGTAGGTGAGCATCACTGACCTTCAGGGCTCGCTAGCTTCCTTGAAGCAGCTGCAGCAGCAGCAAGACACAACTGATCTTCAAGCAAAAAATCAGGCCTTGCAACAGAAAGTCCATTTATTGCAGGTTGGTTTGTTTATGTACATGATTCATTGCTTTACCTCATAGGAAGATTTATAGACATTGACTGTCAATCCAACCAGCATCATTTATTTGTTTGACATAATTGTATTCACCATGGATCACTCATTGAAAAGAGAAGGAGAAGCACCTTCATCATATTCCTTTCTTATATTCTTTCCTCAATGGCTGTTGGATTACATCCTGACTGTCAAAAACTGAGTGTGACCTCTATAGTGTGTTTACAAGTGTCTTATTGCATCACTCATCCATGATCTATAATTTGTGTGATGAGCCTTTACTATCACAAAAAACACCACACACGACTCCAGCAGAAAGATTATGCCACAATCACAGTAGAATTGCCTGGAGTAAGAAAATTATCCTCTTGATCCTAGGATCAGCTGAAGCAGTGCCTGGCAGGGAAGAGCACATCCAAAGCTGCTCAGCCTGGGAATGTGGGAGAGAAAGTACCAATTGCAGCACCTCACAGTTCCAGTTCACCCTCAGTGAACAAATTGCCAGAACCTCAACACTTCCAAGAGGAGGAGCCCAAGGGTGTGTTGCAGCCACCAATGGAAGATGACAAACAAGAAGAACAGCATGTAGAACAGGGACATCCTATACATGCACCAAGGCACTTTAATTCCAGGGATAGAGAGAAGAAAGATGCCTTTGCTGCTGCTCAGCAGAGGGTGGAGGTAAGGTGAAAAAGGGCACTGTGGGTCTTCATGGGACTGATCCTGTGTGTCAACAGCCTTTGATCATTGATATTGTACCATTTCTCTGCCAAATGACTGATCTCTTGTTAAATAAGATGCTGGCACCCTTGTGATGTGGTTCTGTTTGTGTTTTGAATGTGAAAGACTGAAAACTATGACAATATGCCTCAGATTCTTCTTGCATGAAACTCTTTTCTTTTCACACTGATGGATTTTTTCCAATTCATATATAAGTCCACATTACATTCCTTCTTATGATGCATGGCATGTTGTACCTTCAATCAGTTGTAACTCTCTAGTTGTCTCTCCCTACAGTATTGGGGTGTTGGTTATATGCTTCATGTTTATGAAAGATTCACCCACATCCTTGAGTTTTTGTGATGCCTATATTTTTTTAGAATCTGTATATGAAAGGACTTGTATATGTCTGATTTATTCACTGACCATAACACATCCAATGCTTTATGCTTTGCCAGGAACCTCATTTCTGACCAATCTCCCTACCTACCTGATGTGATTGCATGCTGACCCTGGGAGTGCCTGGGATGTGGTATAACAGAGTATGTGAGCAGAATTTGCTGTTCTGCCTCCCAATCCATGGGAACTTCACTCACTTCATTTCTCCCTTGCAAGAGATTATGCCCTGAATCCCCTGAATTGAGAATGCATTTTCTCAACCTTCCTGTTCATAACTCTTGCCATAGTCACACCTTTTCTTATCTTATTTGTAATTCTTTTAAAGTAGTTACAAGGATTAGAGAAATTCTTTTTAAACTCTATTTTTTTCTTTGTACATTTTCCTTTGCCAGAATCAAGGAGTGCTGGCCCCACCCCCAGATGAGTCGCAGGGGAGGGGAAGCATGAAGTCAAGCACAACAAAGAAAAGCAATGTGCCAAATCTCTTCCCTTACTCACAAGGGAATAAAATTCCTCTTCATCCAAAGCAGGGAGATCGGAAGTTCCATCCTGGAGCTGGGATTCGGAGTGATGACTTTAACCTTGGCCGTGTGTGGAGAAATCCTGTCAATGGAGTTCAGTTCCCTGCATTTCAGGTCAGTCAAGCTGATCAACATAGAAATATAATGTTGCTCATGTTTTTACAAATAATTCATTTATTGCTGTTTCAGCATGGAAGCGAAAATGAAATACAGGATGACCATGCTGGAGGAGGATACATGAATCGGAATCAATTGCCAGTTCCTGGTCCTGGGGAGCAGCTTCAATGGAAATTAATTCAACCTGCTCATCCTCAAGCTGCCCAGCATCCTGCCTACCTGCAATCTCGACAGCTTGCATTACCGAGACACAGGTTGGTGATAGCCTACATAAAAATTATCCTCCTTTGAGGTGGAGGCAGGTTATGGAAAGTGAAATATAGAGTTAAGTAACTGTTTAGCAACCAATCCAGGTTTCCTTCAAGTCTTTGAGTTAATCTTTTTGCAGAGCACCTGAAGCTGGGCAACAGTTTGCTGACTTTGAGAATGAAGATGATGGGAGGAATGACAAATATGATGATGCATTTGCAGGTCAGTACCATTTTCACATGTGTGTGCATTTGAGTTTGCAAAAAGATAGGTATAAAAGTTGGCATCCTCTGAATCAGTAATTGATTCAGTGCTTACAGTAAGACAATTCTCATGTATTCTGATGGCACATTTTTTTAGATGTACGGTGACTCCAAAAAGGAATAGATGTGTCATTCAGGTGCTTCCTCCATGTGATTCTGAGTTCTCTTTTGCAGCAATCTCATAACTCTCATTTTTATGGAGAGGCTAATGTATGTCACCAGCACAGTAAAGTTTTGTAGCCCTTCATCCTGCTCAAACCAAAATTAATTGGTGTTCATAAAATATATTTCATTTTCACAGATGACAACATGGACGAAGGTGATGATGCTGCTGATGGGCAGATTCTCAACATTCCACGTATTCCTCAGCATCCATTGGTGGGAATTTCGTTTTCTCCTTATAGTGGGATTCCTTTCCAATAAGGAAAGAAACCCCTTTACATTCCTTTACACACTGTTCTGTCTTTGAATGTGTTCCCATTTTTGCTTTTCAGTAATGACAAAAATATATTGCATTAGTGCTAGGACAAGATGTTGCTGAGACCAAAGAAGAAATTGATGCCATTGATAAAATGACAAGATCCACTTCCTCTATTTTTCAGAGAGTACTCAAAATCATCCAGCAAAATTTCTCCATGATTAGTGGGAGAATAAATCCCTCATATGTCTCCTGAAGCAGCAATGCAAAATTGAATACATATAGGTTATATCCTACTAATTATTATCTTGAATGGATTGCTTCAAGACTGCACATTGAGCAGTAAGACTGCAGCATCTCTCTGTGGGGTCACAGGCTTGCACCATCTCTCAATGCAACCAAGAGCTCCTAGAGTATGATGAATTCAGCCTTTCTTTCTGACAACAAAATCTGGACTCATCTGTCCACAATGCTTGGACCCCAGTTTGAGTAGTGGTTGCATCTAATCATACCTGAATCAGTTGACAGTGATGATCTTGAATGCACAGTCTTTTGGCATATCTCTACTTCTCTGCTGAGGAATTAAAGTCAGTTAATTTATTATTTTTACCACTCAGATGTCTACAATTACCTAAATTCTCACTTCCCTACTTCCCTAAGTGCAAAGTAAGTTCCTCTTTTCTATATATCTTCCAACAGGCTAGGTTCTTTCATCAGAATATTAGTCCAGTTTCCCAAACATGCAATTTGTTGAAATGATTGCAATCAGTAGATAATGCACTGAAAAAATGCCACCAAGTCCACAGATGATTTACTATCATTTCCTATAGTTTTTGGAACTTTCAGAGAATTCCAATACTTTGATGAGTTGATGGTTCACCATTTACAAAATTCACAGAGATTTAGGGAGTCAGTGCAGTTTTCTCTTCTGCTACACATCTTGTAAGATTTTGCTACAATTTGAATGGTCCTCTCTTTAAAAAAAAATTGAGAGAAGAGTGAACATTGAAAATTTAGTGGGAGCAACTTGGAATGGTGAAGGAAAGGTTTCAATTTCCCTTTTGTCTGCTTCAGATGCCCTGGCCCTCATCTGCCCTGCTATTGGGAATTCCAAATTAAGTAAGCTCAGATGCTCACAAGCTCCTTGACAAGTCTTTAAATTGTTCATTCAACCAAGTACAACTGTGATTGAGGGTCAGCTAGGCAAATGAGGACAGGATTAAGCATGATATAGTCTAATCATCGATAATTTTAGCAGCTTTGCTGTTTCAGGAGACATATGTGCCATCCCTTATTCTCCTTAGAGAGGATTTTCCCTTAGGTTTTTAATATCCTTTGTGAGCTGTAGAGACTGTGGATCTTGACTTTTGACTGTCCATAATTTCTCGACTGCAACATTTTTTCCAGCAACATTTTGTTTTTTCACAATTGTATTGATTCCATTGAAAATTGGGATGAAGATGCAGGCTGAGTTTCTTGGTGAACTGTGTGTTGAATGCTAATTTTTTTAAAATCATTTTGCAACTGTATCAGTATGGGCATCAGGCCAAGAGGGAATGAATGTTTGAGAAGGATCTTCTGCTTCCTCTTATGGCACTTTACTCACTAGTCATTCTGTACAACTCTGGCACCACTTTTGAGTTGCTCTCTATTTTGTACTCATATTGCAATATAGCACAAAAAGCTTAAATTAATTGGGGGGGTTGAAAAGCAGAATGCATTTGGAATTTCTTCTATCCTCCTGACCCCTGTACAGGTTCATTGAAAATTCCATCACTTGCTGTCATAATTGTTTCGTGATCACATTGGAGATTTTGGATTTGTGGGCTTGTCAGACCAAGTGACAAACTGATAGATTATGTTACTGCTGGAGTTTTGAGATAACCTAATAGATTTATTTATTCTCATTTTTCAAAGATATATAGAGGTCTATACTCAGGGGTAAGGAGGATATGAGTAATAGAGGCATATTTAGTGATAGGAAGTTGTACAGGACTGGGTTGCAACCTGTTTTTTTCTAACACTTTCTGAGTTGTTTGCAATTGTGCCTGTATGAAAGTGACTATGATTGTTACTGATTCTCTTGGATGGATGCAGATGCAGCGGCACAGGCCACAGAGAGTGGAAGAGGGAGTGATGGTGAACCCTCATCGCCGATAATGCCACGCATTTTTTTTTCTCAATATGCCTTCCTGTGATTTTGTGATTCCCAGGTGGGATGAAAAATACATCCATGGAGACTCCTTTTCCAAAATTAAAAGGCTTTGTCATGCTTGTTATCTCTGTTTCAGAACCCAGGCTGAGATTGCCTGAGAAGGGAGCAAGACTGCTAAAGAGGAACCTGGATTCCTCTGTTGGTGTGATACTGCCCACTTCCAGCACCTGGTGATACCTGATGTTCAGTTATCTTTAGTCTGGCTCAGTTTCTGGAAATGGCTACTATTGAGCAGTGCTCTTTCTCTCCTTGAAAAAAAATTATCATGCATATACTGTTCTTTAAAACAGTGTTACAACAGTGAGGCTTTCATGGTGTAGGGTTGCTGAATCACTTCCATATCCCCAATCCCAATCACTTCCATAAAATTTTAATCTCAACCTTGTGCCTGTTGAAAAGTCTATTGAATAAGAAACTACAGGTACCAAATTTATTGTAAGCCCAAATTTATGGTTTTTTACCTCTCCTTGTGTCAGTTTTTTTTAAAGTAATTCTACCCTGCCATTTCTTTTTGGCTGGTCCTCCTCTTCCTCTATCATGAAGTTGTTGAACCTATTTGGGTCCTCACATTCCCCATCATTTCTGAATGATCATGATCACCAAGATGTTGTTGTTTATATTTGCCTTGGCTGGAACAGGCCTGAATCTCCCTTCTATTTGCACAAATGAAAAATTGCAGTAAGAGATTATTGGTGTTGTGATGTGCACACGAACCCAATTGCATAGTCACTTTCTTCTCAAGATTACAACTATATCTTCATGGTAAACTCATCTAGTAGGTGACTGAGGGAAAACAGTGACTGTGCAATAGGATTTCAGTTGCCGGTCGTTATTTCATGGATTGCCGCCATGGTCCTTGGTCCTGTTCCTGTTCCCTTTGAATTTTCAACTCTGCGTGATATTTGTTGGAAAAATTTTTCTCGACAAGATTGAGAGATTGTTGGACCCTCTCTCAGATATTCAGAGAACTGGTTATCCAGCAGTGGAAGTTGTGGAACTTGGCACACCTGTGATATCTATGTTTCTGGGCTGAGCTGTGCTCCCTCTTCACTTTTACATGTTATACTCCCAATTTTAGTTATGAACTGGCATCAACTATGAAGTTGAGGTTATATTCATCCTCAATGCACCTCCTCAACCATTGTGTGTATACTGTTTCAGTGCCAATGAGATCATGTTGCCACCTACAATTCTGTAGAAGTCTAAAAGGATCCACTTGTTTGTTTTTTTTTTTTGCGAAAATTTAGTTTGATGATGTTTGAGGGACTACTTTGGAGACCGATGGGAACAAGATAAGAACCTCTATTGTACCGTTTCGTTCTCTGCTTCCCTGAGAGATCGGACCAGAGAGTGAATCAAATTCCTTGATCTTCCATTGACTCTATTTATGTGTGCACGAGGGTTCTTGCTGTGCCTTCCAACGCCTTCCTCCTCCCTAGATAGGACGAAAATCCAGTCCAATGTGGAAGTGCTAGTTGTTTTGTAGGGTGTTTTTGTTTTGATGGAGTATGAATATTTTTTATCTGTCGGAAGAATAAATATATTGATGGACTCACAAGAACGATTTCGGGGCTCCTTTCCGAGAACGAAGTGAACAGAGGTCCTCCTCCATAAAGGAGTCATGAGGTGGACTTCCGGGGTGAGAGATGGATGGGACCCGAAATGACACACCTCATCGACTTCCCCTTCATAGTTCATAAAATCTCGACCTGTAAGAGGCAATTAAAGGCAGCTGCCTTTTTTCATCCCCATGCCCATTCAGGAGAGCCCTGCAGGAGTCTCCCTCCCTATTCAATGGGGAATCCGAAGCCCCATTTGAGAACATAATAAGCTCAAAAAGGTCATTCGTTCTCTGCTATTTCCGAGCCGCTTCTCTATGTGCACTCCTGATTTCTTTCCCTCCCCCAAATGATCCCCGGTAGAATGAAAGCCTCTGCCCCTCTCCAAATCTATGTTTGAGGGAGGAGCGAAATGCTTACAAGCTCACGCATCTCTATTGTTTATCTGAGACTTAATCTCGAGCAGTAGGTATTAACATCAATTGCAAAATACACAGACTTCGCTAAAATGAAGAAAGACAAATGCATGTCAAGTATGCGCAATCGTAGAAGGCTAATGAACGTCATGCACCGTATTGATTTCACTTCATGGCGTGATTCAATGAGATACTATCAACATGGTTGTATGAGTTGTTCAGCCGATATCAATTATAAGTGTGGCTTTAAATGATGTCGATCTAGTGCATATCGCTAGCGTGATAAATGGGGTTGGGCAACGCTCACGATTCGCAAGTATAGAGGTTTAAAAAGCCTGACACCACCCGAAATAATAGGAGGATTTTATCGTCAACGTCCCTAGGATAATTCAGGCAGGAAAATATTCCCCTTACTCCCCTTGTCTGAGGGCTAGGAAGGTGGATATTTCACTCATTTTTCCTTCATTTACCTCTCTGCACGTCACTCGATTAATAAGTAGAGTGCATCCAAAATGAACAAAAATGAGGTAAAATGAACGCAGCTCCTCGATTGAAATCAATAGACGGTTAACAAATTCACCCAAACTAGATCGAGAAGTTCGGGAAATTACCTCGAAAGGCGACAGAAGACGAAACAGTCGAGAAAAAAAAGGGAGAGTGGAATCAAGTGGCCCTTGTGACTCCCTTAAAAGGATCTCAAGTTATCAAATAGCGGGAACGAAGAATACGAGAGTGACGCGAGGGGAGGGAGATGAAAAGAAATTGATTCCATTCGGATTAAGGAAAAATACATGTTTTGCAGACACGTGGAATGGCACGACGCAGAACAAACAGGTAGCAACCGTGTCTTTCCACCTAAACTCCGTCTACAAAACGTGATTGTTGACCCTCTGCTCCCCTTTTTTTCAGGGGAAGCAAACAGCGTAACTCTGGAGACTTATTTTGACCGATGGCGGTGGAGGATATATTATGGGAAACGGGGGATTTACGACTATTACCCCCTTGGCCTTTTTGCATCCATCAAAGGAGACTTCTCTCTTTCCCTGTTCATTTGATCCCTTCTCCAGGGAGCACATAATGGTGTTCGTCCCCTTCGCCTCAAAAGCCTTCTCTCTTCATGAAAGGAGTCCGCTTTCGGGGAGAAGAAAAAGGAAAAAAGCCACACCTCGACCGATGTAACGAAAACTGACCCTAAATTCTGGATTCGCGAAGCCTCCAGCCCACTTTCGGGAACGAGTCGACCGCGAAAATTGCAACCGAGACGAAACACTAAGCGCAATCGTCCGAGACACATTCTATTCGCGTAGCGTCTTTTCCTTATTTGTTTCCTTATTTTTGAGGAACACGGAAGAACCACTTTACATTTCGTCATAACTCTCCACCGACCACCGAGAACCACCGAATTTACAAAAAATATATAAATATATATAAAAAGACTGGAAGCGACACATGCCCAGAGCCCTTGCGGTTCTCGTGCAAATTAATCCCATCAGTATTATGAGCAAAGGCCAGCTCTGCGCATCGACGGGAAATCGGAACATGAACCCCGATTTTATCGGGAACAGCTTCGCAGCCTTGTATATTGGCTTCACAACCTCAGAATTAGGAAGGCTGCGGTGTTCTAACCCCCATTATCTTACCCCAAATGCCCCCCCCCCCCCCCTTCGTCACCGTTAGCCTAACTTCCATTTTTACACCTGTTTCAAGTTAGACAGACTAAATGCAGAATGCCTGCAGTAAAATAGGCCTACGGTGAGCAGTAAAAGGTTTCTCGTCGTGATGCCCATCGAGAGCCCAGCGATCGGCAGGCGTGCAACTCGGCAAATCTTTCCACGTTTTCGACTCGCACGCTCGAAAGAAAGCCCTGTAAGATTCCTCTGGGTCTGGGGGATTCCCCGAGGAATTCTGCGATTGCCTTCCGACGCGAGTAGGCGTCTCGAGTCGCCCGTCGAGCGATCGGGTTCGAGACGTTTCCACGGGCCTAACGACGACTGGACTCGACCGGACCGATCTCGTGATTTGGTGATCGCAGCATCTGCGAGGAAGACGAGGAGGAGAATCCCGACGAGGTGACCGGAGAAGTGGATGCCGTGGGGGCCATCGCGTGGCGAAAACGTAAGGCTCGCCGATCGCATCGCGTTAAGGCTATTTCTGAGCAGTGATTAGTAGATCGGTGACGCAGGAATTCTTCGTAGGCTCTGGATCGGGCTCGCGTTTCCTCGCCGGGCGGACGGAACCCTCACTCGCCGTGAAGCTTTCGTCTGGCGTGCCTTCCAACGCGAAACGATATCGATGAGAATCGCGAGAACGAAGAGCTTCGTGAATACGGAAATGCCATTTCGAGGGATGAAGGTAGAAGCCGAGGAGAAGCGCGGGAGACTCGTCGCGAGCGTCGTGTCCGGTCGTGTCCGGTCGTGTCCCTTCGCTTTTGGGGTTTACCACGTCGGGGCCACGTCGGGGTCACGTCGATGCTTCCGTCGACCGAGAAAGGCCTCGCGGAGAAGTTCCATGTCGTCTTCGGGGAACTCGATACCGTAACCCCGGGCGCAAGGTGGAACTCACGTTGGGCCTCGCTTTCAAGACAGCAGACCTATAAAACCTACTTCTACCCTCCCCCCCCCCCAAGTAACCCCCTTCGAGCCCCGAGGTGCGAAAACTTGCTCGACGGGATGGGGCCTTTCCATGTTTCCATTTGTCTTCCAAAAAAATCCCGACGTCTCTCCTGGATTCCATCCGTGAGTCGGTTTCCTTGTTCTCCTTCGCACGCGGACGACCCCCACGACGAACGGCGATACGGAGTGCGACCGTCGGGTCGTTCGGCTCGGCTCCGGCACATAATAGAGCTCCCGATTCCCTTTCCCCTTTCCGATCCTTGTTTACGTTTCTGCCCGGATCTTTCGACAGGCTTTCCAAATCGAGAGGAGGAGCGTGCGACGTCCATAGACGCAGGCCAGAAAAGGGTTATGCGAACAATGAAGTGCCACAGAGCACGGGGGACGGAGACGATGTCACGTTTCCCACGTCGCGACCGCAGTCGCATTTTCATCCCTCCGGACGAACTCTCGTCATGGCGGTTTCCGGTTCTTTCGTCTCTCGCCGTGACGAAACGTCGAACCCTGAGGTTTGCGGAGCAAAAAAAAAAAAAGAGCCAGCATCGAGTGAGACAGGCGACGCGATTTTCCTCCACCAGATATCGACTACAAAGGCGACAGGAAATTCATTCCGTCTCCCTCTCGACCCTAAAGCAGAAAGAAATCGTCGCTTGATATCGCTCGGACGACAGACCCCGACGGCGCGAGGGGGACGTGAAGGCGAAAAGGGGACGCGAAGGCGAACAGGGGACGTGATCCGAGCCCACGACATACTTAATTCGATAGGACGGTCTGCGCCTCGGGTGGAATTCCTCCCCACTTCTTTGGGACCGGAACAGCCATCCCCGGCCATCCCCGGCCATCCCCGGCCATCCCCATTCCTTTGCCCCGTGCTTCCGTCTGAACGTCGGCATCACGGCATCGTCTCTAGAGGGTATCGTGGATTCGGCGCCGTGACCTCCGGGTTCGAGCCCTTTCGAGCCCTTTCGGTCCTCGCTTTAACCTCATGCTCTCGGCCGCATCGCATCTTCGACCACGGCATTCGGAGGAAAGGCGAAGTGGAGACGAAGACGGACGATGCTCCCCCGTCTCGATTCTCTCTTTAATGAGCGGGGAAACGCGAGCGAAGTCTCCATTTTCCCACCGGAGACATCTGGTGTCGGCCGAGAGAAGCTCGGCCGACACCGGGTGGATTCTTTTTCCCTGAGGTATTTGTCGGAACCTCTTGCGCCTTCGAAAGGCGAATCCGTTCGGTCGTATTGCTGGGCTAGGAAGAGTGAGACGAGAAAATCCGTCGCTCCACCATCAAAACGTGATTCTCCGCCGTGTAAATGGATTCCCTACATGTAAATGGGATTCCCCACCAGCAATTGCGATGTGCGACTGATTCGTAGCTGTTTTTTTTTTTTATCCAATAAAACGTGAAAATACGATCACTGGGACGTTGAGCCCGCGGTTCTCCCTTATTAGCTAAAATAATCCTGATTTAATCATCGCGAGACAGCGGAAATAAATAATGAATCGGATCGATTCATTATTCAATCCTCCGAGAAAAGACACGAGTGAGAAACGTTGCCGAGTCCCGCGGGACCGGGGATGTCATCCGCCGTCCGCGGGATGTCATCCGCCATC